GTCCATCAACTTGCTCCTCACTTCTGTGGGTTCGAAACCCGCCAGAGACTTAGTATTATTTCATATGAGGAAGATACTCCAGCTAGTTTACGAAACGCCGCTAGTTCTTTTCAGACTCCCGTTCGTGTCTGAATAATTATACATGGAGGTGCACCTGATGTCATCCTTCACCAGTAAAGCTGAAAAGTCACGATATGACCTTATTGTAGTGGTACGACGTTAAATCCAACAAAAATATATATTTGTACAGATTGCTTATTGTGTGTAGTGCTGCATGTACTAGCGTTCTACAATCTGAATATCAACTTGATAATTAGTTATCAAGCACATCCAATGTGTTAGATGAGTTCAAACGCAATAAAAACAATTAATGATTATAAATCGGTCAATCTGCGTACAAGTACTTTTTACGTACGTGAGAGGACGCGTGTGTATATGTGTGTGTTTGGTTTAATTGCTATATTGTCACCAGCAAAAAAAAAAGTGAGATTACTTCCATTAGGGTCTTTCATATATAATAATGTTGTTTTGAACATCAAATAAACACGTTTTTCAGATGTCAAAGGTAGAAAAAGGTTGTACTCAAATTGAAAAGTGCTTTATGTCAAGTTAAACCCTCAAAATATACATAAATGGTATGTCGAATCCACCGACATCTACGTTGAAAACATTTTTTGTCATTTAATATTTTATAAACAGGCAATAATAATTTCCCAAATTTCCAAAATATGGTTATTTTGTGAAAGAATAATTCATACGATGTGATGCCGTTGTATTATGGGGTCGTTTTGCACACATTTGTACGTGTTTTAACCAAAATTAGGCAAAAGTGGCATCCCCTCGTCAAACTGTACAAAAGTGTTTGCATAAACGGCAATGAATTGCACCGTGTGCGTGTTACAAGTTGAAAAAGTACATGTGTTGGCTCCAGTCTCACTAAGTGTTTCCAGTAAAACATTAAAACAGAAAACAAAATTCAGTCATATACTTTTCGGCAACAGCAAACGGCCATATTTTATCCACAGCTTCTGCGACAAATACTCCAACGCCGCTGCGATGGACCCACCGCTTCTGCGAAAGCTATGACCAGTGTGGAAATTGCCAGTTTGAAAACATGTCATTTACTAACAGGCTGCATTAAACGAAAGCATTTTACTTTTTTTTATTAATCATTATCATAGAAAATAATTTTATATTAAAATCAAAAACGAAAGTTTTACAATTCGAGGAAAAGTCACAAAAATAGGAAAATCAAACTTGTACCATGTGATTGGGTCCTTATAAACATTAATTTACAAATATAAGTAAATCTAGTTATTATAACAATTTCTTATGTCTCAGACGTGGTCAGTCATGAACAAAAGAGGAATGATAATAACCACGTGGTCACGGCGGTCCCTGAAATCATTTGAGAAAATCAAAAGCTAAAATATATGACATACATAATGAATTCAAACACACATCTTCTCCCCGCTCGATTCCTACATTGTGCCAATGACAATTATCAAAGCCATTGATAGTGATTGCAATATAAATTCGGAGGCAATTTTAAAACGAGGCAGTTTCATAATCCTACTAGCATGAACATGTTTATTGAAAAATCTATCAAATATATATAACTAATGGAAGCAGAATATGTTGCAATAAGATTATATAAAATATTTATTTTTACTATAAAAGGAAACATTTTATATTTCCAGCGAAGATTTCAAGGATTGTTCATTAAATTGAACTGCTATGATCACTTACATAGCGTTAATTTTGACATAATACCAATTTTTTGTACATGAATTTAGATAGGAAATATTTTCGAAATTTGCTAGTAGTGTCAGGTAGTTGTAGAAGCCTGATGAAAGTCTCCTCTCATGATACCTTAAACATAGGACTTTTGTTTGCGCCTTTTGCATAATTATTGAACTATAAGCCCCGCATATGTACATTTCTTTTCGAAAATCTGACAAAAATATCAATTAATTTACGTTTTAAGTCCTTACACCCCTTTAAGTCCCAAAATTACTGTTTTCTGGGTGACAAAACTTAAAATTACGCCTAGTTAAGGCGTTAAGTATGATAAACTGTAATCTTTCGTCATTGGTTTTTGCCCTACGCAGAATGCGCATGCGCGAAATGCAACATACGTTACTATGGAAAAATCGTATCGTAAAAAGGTCTTTAACTATCTTACACAGGTATATAAGAATGAGACATAAAGAAAGCAATAAATCGACTTGTTTTTTCACAACCTACGCATATTCTCTTTAACAACGCATATCCCCTATCCATGAATCATTTATCTTTAATCACTAGAATAAGTATATAAAGGTTGGAGCATTGTTATCTTGGATCTAGTGTAATAAAAAAACATATTTGGCCTTGAAACAATTGTTTATAAATTGCATTCAGTGTTGTTTTTTATAAATCATATAAGAAATTTGAAAAAAAAACATGTTTTCTAATATATCTTTTGTATCCAATCATGTCCTGTTTACGGTTAAATATAAAGTGTTTTAATATCACACAGATACCATTGTAACCATTTAACTGTAGAAAAGTATTACGTAATGCAGAGGTTTTAATGAAACTGCTTAAATGTGAATATCAGCTCTTAACGTAGCGAACGATCACAATAAAATCTTTACTTTAATTAATTAGTGTTATTTCAGATCTTTTAGCAAAAAATCCATCCGACTTTTAAAACGCTATAAAAAAGCAAAGCATGCATTTTGTAACTGCTACGCCAGATTGTGTCTGCTTTCTTTCAAACTTTCAACCTTCATCTTTTGGAATAAATTGTTGTTAAAACATACAAATTGAGTACCAGCCAAACATCAAACATAATAAAACTGGTAATAAGAATTCTATTGGGACATTTGTTCTTGATATTTGACTTCGCGGTCAATCAAGGCGGAATATTGTTCCATAGAATATTTAAATTAATCAATTGATTCAATTTTATTTCATTTCATAGAACAGTCATTAATTGCCAAACACTTTCTGAAAGAGCTAATTTGTGTCAGGAAGACCCGGTTTGTTTTAAGCAGTTTATGGGTCAATTATTCCAGACGAATCTAATTTAAGATGCTTTGCAAGTAAAATACATTTTTTGAAAAAAAACTATATAATTTTTGTAAAAAAAAAACTTTATTTTTGCTTTTGAAAATATAAAGGTTTTTAACTTTTTGCCCCCTGGTTTCAATGCAAATGGATAAAGTAAATGGTTGACCTAAAGCTTCCCCACGAAAAAATCCGAAATGTTAAAAATTTAATGTAATTTTCATATATTATTTTAATTTTCATGTTTTTTGTAATGTCATAATTTCAGGGCATAAAAATACTGTTTTTTTATTTTTTTTTTTCATCTTATAACAGTATTTAAGAATAATGTCATGCGTCTATGTAAAACGCAATAAATATTTTTCTAAAATCTTTTTTTTGGAGGGGAAAATGGGTGGATTCTAAAAACCCAGGCGGTTTTTTGGCTAGGCAATACCGGTATATGTCCGCACGTGTGCTTTCATGTGAAAGCTACTATTCACAGTTCATGATGAAATTTCCTCGGGAAACTTAAATTTAAGTATGTACGCAGGCTGCAAGAAAAAAAAAATATTTGAATCCCTTAATAAAAAATTTTATAGCTCTTTAGACTTATTCAAATATTGAATACATAGCATTACACATCAGACATGACCTTCAACAAACCAAAGGATGTCAAAAGAAGTTATCCTCACAATAGTTATTTCCCTCAATATTTCATAAATCATTTCATTTTCTATGTGAATATTAAACGAAAAAGGGCAAGGATCTTGGGGTTATCAAACATATATCCTAGCTTCTTTATTGCATGGTTGTGTTTTGATGCTTTTAAAAAAAATGTTGGTAATTAAAACACGTCGAACCTATTGCCATCTCCATCGTGTTTATAAATAAATATTTCACAACGTAAAGAATTTTATAAAGGTCCAAAATTTGATATACCCCCATAATACAACACATCACGCATTTATCTATTATTATTACAGTCTAAGGGAGACAACAAATTTGCTTTACTATCTCGGTCTTATACTAATGATTATCCCCCATGAGTATTGTATTAATAAAAAGTTTATACACTGTACATTATCAACAGAAATAACATCATGTACAAATAAGAAACGGATACATTATTCTAGGAGTTTTATGTGTAAGTATTTCTGTATACAACTGTATGTTTATTTGCCATGTTTGGGTTTTCAACACAATAAAGGTATGGTGCGGATACAGGGAAGATGATTTTGGCTAATCTCTGGTGGGTGTCACAAACTTTGCAACACCAGGAGTCAAAACCACCTCAGCTGCTAGAGCTAAGAGATGCATAGACTCCAACTCATTTAGTCGCAAGTCTTATGATCATGCAGGGATAAACAGTGGCTACTACATATACTGCCTCGACCCTAAAAAGTAACCCCTAAGCAACAAGGGGATGTGAGAGGAAGTAGACCCCTAACTTTATTGTCATTTTATTTAATGTGTGGATAAGAAAATCAGTAAAATTTCAACAGAATTTTATCCAAATTTTAAAAGGCAAATACAAGAAATGTCTTATTACTGTTTATCTGCATTGAATTTTGTTTTTTATCAGTCAATTTTCATTGGTCAATTATTTAAATTAAAGAAATACATAAACATGTATGTTATACATGGCTGTTTCACGTGTACAAATTAACTAACTTTTTATTTTGTTAAATTTTGAAAAAGACCATTTCTTCAGTATTTACCATATGAAGAAAGACATAGGACAGATTATTACAATAGACTAACAGAGGAATAAGAAATATTTTGGGATGTTCCGGGATTTAATCCTCCTGAGGGGGGGGGGTAACTTTTGCAGTTACAACTTCAATACCAAGGGCAACAGGTTGACTCATGATTATTATTATGAAAAGTGACGTAACAAACTTGCAGTATTATAAATGTTTTTATATCAAATATGACAATCCTAATATGTATAAATCACAAATTCATATATTTCATACTTTAATTATATAAAATTAGCATTTCAATACCTTACAAAATAAAACAAAAAATGTATACTATATGTATACTAAAATTGATCTGATCAGTAATAAAAAATAATGTATACATAAAATAAAATAACAACCAAAAACCAAATCATATAATGATAATAATCACAAAATGGAATGTACTAAAACAATAGTAAAGAACACAGTCATAGTATATACCAAAATAGCCACATTGCTCAGCAATTTTTAGGTTCAAGTAGTTTAGGTAAAACAAGAGGCATGCAGGAAGTTCCTTAGTTCACAAAAATAAAATTCCATGCTTGAGTTATGGGTCTTGTGGATGACCTTATGGGTCTTGGTCAGTGACCTACAATAACAACCTCAAAAAGGTGTGTGTAATTTCTGTGGAGATAAAATTCATGTCATGCAAGAGTTGTGGAACTTGATCTGTAACCAATAGTTATGACCTTGAACTTAGCGTGAAATTTCTGTATCTCAGATTTATGGGCTGTAGTTATGCAGTGACCTTTAAAGCAGCACGCCTCCAAAATTATGCTAATTTTCATGAAAATTTTGAAAACGTATTTAAATGTGTAATATTGTGAAGTAACCAAAAGGAAGCGATTTACACATTATTAATGACACTTACAAACCGAGTAAATTACCAAAAAGTGGTCAAAATATGCATAAATAGCCTTTACTGCGTTAAGTAACGCAGTAGAAATATAGTTGTAAATATTGAAAAATCAGTCATTAATCGCACATTATATGTAAACTATACTTGAATCTTGAAACTGTTTACTTTTCCTAACACCTTAGTACATTTTTCTCAAGTTTGATTTTATTGAGATATTTTGACTCATCTGGAGGACTGTAGATTTAACTTTGACCCTGTAGTGTAGACGATATGTAAAGCTTTAAATTAATACCATCATATATTGTGAAGGCAGAGATAATATAATGTACTTGAAAATGAAAATTTCTGATATTATAAATCAAAAGTATTTGAGACTGTTTAAAGTAAATTTATAATAAAGTCAAGATGAAAATCATATTTATGATCAGACGATAACATCAAGACTTAAATGCAAAAATAATGAAATAATGCTAAAATAATCAACTATACTGGTACATGAATTCTTTTTAATTTTGATTTACTGGCAGGAATTATTTGGCATACACTTAGCATTATAATATATAAACCCTTATCATGCTAAATATCTTAAAATGGACTTGTCCATCTTTCAATACGGAATAAACAAATCATCATTTTTAGGGAAATTTTCAAAATATGAACCGGTTGAATAGCCAAAAGTACAGACCATGATAAGATCATAAGAAACATTTGCGAGTAGCATGCTTAGGGTAAAATCTGAAAACTGTAAAGCCTCTGCCGCCAGTTTGGAGCCTAGCCAGTATGCATGTCTTAATAAATTCTGACCAGATTCTGAACTTCTATATTTTCATCCATATCCCTGGACCATCTGAAAAAAAAAGTTGGACAAGTCCATTCTGAAGAGTCATGCAGAAGGGATAATTTGGCAATAATTTATTCTAAATATTCTATAGTAATGGCATAAATAATATCAAGCTCCCTCATTTTTGTTTCATTTTCTAACATTTCATTTTACAGTTTTGTGACAACTTATGATATAAGATGTTTAACTTCAATTATATAAATTAAATCATATTGCAGTTGCTTTGGGTGAAAATTTATTGCAGAAACAATGAACATCTGGGCAAAATTTGTTGCAGAAAAATTGCACATCTTCCATGACAAAACTGAATTATAGAAATTCCTTGTTTAAAGTGGATTGGTCTATGATAGGAACAGTTTCCATAGGATTGATAAATATTGATAAAAACAATAGAAATGTATCGTTTGGATGTTCTGAAGTAATATTGCTTGAAAAAAAATGTTGATAAAGTTCTAAGTGATTTAGTATTTAGCATTTATATAATGGCTAATAATATTTTGTTTTAGAACAATTTATTATCAGCTATATAATTATGTAATATTGGAACATGTATCTCATACTTTCAAGCAACATCCATATATAACTTTTTCATGTTTGTAATTGTTATCTCTGATACTAAATACATTGTACCATACGTTATTACAGTATTTATTGTACAGCAGACTTTTCATAACAGACCAATTCACTTTAATATATATTGTATGTATATTTAGAACTATGAAGTAGATCAGAACTAATTCAAATAAAAAGAATCTTATAACATTTCATGAACAAATTAAGTTAACAATATGATATGTTATACTGTACTCAATAATTATGTAGAAATTTCCATAATTTTAAATAGTTTTATTTTAAACAGTTCTTTTTGCAAAGAGGTAAAACCCTGTTAAATGTAGATCTTTGAGACCTTTTACAGCTTAGTTGCTCATAATATGCCCTGAATTTTATTTTGTAAAAATAAATTTCCTTGAAATGTTTAAACTAGCACTATCTGTTCCTCCTTCCGGTACTACTTGTCCTTGACCTTTGTGTACCAGTTCTATGACTTGAACTATCCCGTCTGCTGCGATATTCATCTTCACTATATCTCTCCCGACTGTCATGGCCATGCCTTCTTCGTCTATCATCATTATCACTATAATCGTCACTGTCTTTATAGTAATCTCGTTTTCTCCGGGAATGTGTCCCCGTTGACGATGACCTCTGAGACGGTCGTGAACCTACACTTCGAGATCTATTTCTTCCTCTTTCTCTATGGTGATCACTATTATAATCAGAATAGTTATAGTCAGAATCGGCACGATTATATCTATAGTTTTCTACACTTCTTGACGGGGATTTATTTCTTGTTTTAGAGCTCCTTGTAGAGCCCTTGTGTGAACCCCTATCATCAAACGATCTGCCTTTATCTCTAGCTTGCCTTAGAGATTGTTTGATATTTTCATCAGTCAATAACATATCTGATTTGCGAGCCCTATTAGATCTACCCAGCCCTCTGTTAGTCTCAGCTCTTCCTTGCCTATCTGCTCTTTGATGTTCTTGCCGACGAGCCTCCTCATACCGATACTCTTCCTCTTCCCTAGCCTTACGGACATTGTCCCTATGCAACCCTCTTCTCATCGAGTCAAACTCATGCGATACATTTTTTATAGCAGATTTCAATTTTGGTTCGCTGGTTTTTACTTGATCGACTTGATCACTGTCATAACTCCGTGTATCTATAGAGTTGCACTTTCCATTCTTCTCGGAGATTGTTGTTCTGAAGGCAGGGTACATGCTGTGTTTACTACTATGTACACTACTATGTACACTGCTGTGTACACTTCCGTGGACACTACTGTGAGCCGAACTGCCTCCATGTACAGCACCAGAAGCTGAAATGTGAAAAACTCAATGTATGATCTGAATAGATGTATAATCATTCTGTTGTTGATCATGGACTAATAAGTTTTAACAGATATATTCATGCTTTACAGTATGTAATATAAATTCATTCACTCTGCCCTCATTACCATTTCTTTTATTTTTGAAAATTTCAAAATCAGGGTATAACAGTATTAGGTTAATCATGGGTTAATGTCAAGCATGAATAAAAAAATCTTATAACTTAAAAAGCCCTGGTTTTAAGCTTTGCATTTCACATTTCTGCCTGACGGAATAACTATTTTTACATGATAAAGTTCTAGATCTGAATCTATTATTTATGTCCTAAAATCTGAAGCACAAAGGTTACAAATGTTATAAATAATGCTGTATTTGTGACAAGTAACGGCAGCATTTCCTTTTAATGCATGCCTATTTTCAGATTCAACCCTCTCAATAGGTTTTACAATATTGACAGGTTTATGCCACCAATAACGTTTGTTTGTAACAATGGATTTAAGTCATATATATCTTCACAGTTCAAGTTATATGATGACTTCCCAGTTTTACTTAAGTGAGGGACCTTTTGCCCGCAAGACCTAAGGTGACCCTTGATGCATTTTCGGCAAATCCAAGTACAACAGGTACCTGAGTAGAACTATCAACCATTTGTAAGCTAGCTAGATATAAGCTTCCTCATATGAAAATTTTCAAAGTCTCTGATGGGATTCGAAACCCACCTTGGCAAAGGGCAAGTGATCTGAAGATAGCAAATTTATACATTTAGCCACAGAGCCATTGGCGCAGCCAGTCATGCCAAGTCAGCTTGCATGAATGTCTTTCAAAGCAACTGTTAAGATAATATGGTTCAGGGGTCTCTCTTCATGCATTATTCGTTAGGAATGAGAAGGCAACCGAGTAGAACCTGACCAAACTTCCATAAGCTAGCTGGATAGCTTCCTCACATGGAAGTATCCAAAGTCCCAAATGTGGTTTTAATCTGCACCTGAGTGAATTGAAGTAGACAATCTTAACCTCTCAGCCACAGATTAAAGTGACATTATGCCCATCCAAGAATATATAGTGAGTAAACAGGTGAAAGTCAAAATAAGTATATTTTGCCATTATAGTTCTTTCCAATTTTATAATTTTTTTGGCATGACCGATAAATAACTCAAGTGGCTCAAGTAAATTTCTGTAAATATTCATTGGAATTTACTTGCAAGGTTAAATTTATAAAAAAGAGTCTTTCTATATTTTAGGCAAATTAATGTTTTATCCTAAACATTTTCCAATATAAACTGTTAGTCAATCACTGTTTTAACCCTCAATCTTTTGAAATACAGTTGATTCTCGGTAACTCTAATTTCAAGGAACTGGACATTTTACTTCGAGAGAAACAGAATTCGAGTCACATGGATCTGCTGCCATTATGTTTACATTCATACATGATTACACATCCAAAGAAGTAGGTTTGTTTTTGTTGATAACGGCAATGCTGCAATATTTAACCGTTGAAATGACGATTTATCACTTAAAACCACAAATTTTAAATGAACATAAATATATTATTCAAAATTTAATACATGTATATTAATAGTGAAATATAAACACAAACATTAGTAGCAATGACATAAATTCAAGTTTGTCAGAATTTATCAGTAAAGCCTATGTTATTTATAACCACTCATGACAATTCATTACAATGAAGCACAATAACATATTTATTTCAACAATAATTTATCTAATATTAAACCTAGTTATTTGACTAACACCTGTCAGACTGGCAAGAGTCAACTTTCTCAAAGAAATGTAATTAAATTCTAATTTAGTTATCTAACTGTTAAAACAAATTAAGTCCTGAAACAGATTAAAGATACTTTTACGACTAAATATAATAATACATGATGACCAGCAATTAAAATTACCATGAAACGTGTGAATCACGAGTGACAACATCTCACATTAATGTCGCCGACCTTTGATCAGTCGGCTGTATTCACACTTCGACTAATTTAGATGCAAAAATGTTGGACTTTAATTGACGGGACCAAATTTTCTTTTCGACTAAACAGGAGTCTCGGTAAGTCAAATTTTGACATAAGCGGAGTTAAAGTACAAAGATTAAGAAGGAAATTTCACGGGACTATAGAAATTCTTCGACTAACGCGGAATTTTGAGTAAAGCGATTTTGACTTATTGAGAGTCAACTGTATATAGTCAATTCAGCTCAAATTGACAATGAAAATCGGAGCACAATGTCACTTTAAGCAGCATTAATTATACGACATAGAACATACTGTACTTACAATGAAGAAGCGTGGAATGTGCGAGGGATTCTTTCTCCTCCTGTCTCCTTCTGTAGGCAAAAATCAAGTACACAACAACCGCTATGATGACTACAATTACTAGAACAATGGCCACAACAATGCCTGCAATTACGCCTACACTCATCGATTCTGTTTCCTCCTGTGGCACGTAATCCCCGCAAACATTTGGTCCTTTACAGAACGAAGATATATTTGTATATCACATTACATTATAGTAAAATATAATATTGTATAAATTATAAAGCAATGACTGTTAAATTTAACTTGATTATTTTTTCTAACTAACTCATATGACTGTGAATTGAAAACAATGAGTAAAAATTTTGATTTTAATTAGAAGCAAATCAAGACACATGTGAAAACAATAAAGCACAGCTTAATGAGTGTCTAAACATCTAAGTACAGATAAATTAGTGTGAAAGCAATAAATTATAATGGATAAATTAATGTGAAAACTGGTGCCTTACCATCTTCTGTTACCAGTCGAAGATAAAACTTATACCCTGTGCTGCCAGAGTCGGGTTTTTCAAGACTTATAGCTATATCCCCTGTGTATGAGTTGTAGGTATTTCCAGTTCCAGAGTTACAGCCAAAACTATACTGAAATTACAGAACATTTATTTCAATAAGGTGTCTTTTTTTCACATAAAGTCAAACTGGATTTTTTTTTTTTGTTATTTGTGTACCATTTGATTTCACTCATTTCGTTTTTCCTGAGTGAGAAAAACCCTTTTGATTGTGCAAAACGACCCAATGAAAAGCATTAAAACACTTTTAACTTGAATCAGGCTAAAAATTGCACAATTTATTTCATTTTAGTTCTTATTATATTTTCTTGTTATTTTTTACATGTTCGCTTGTTTAAAGTGCACCAGTTAAACTATAAAGGGTTTAAAATTTAACACTTTTGGACTTTTTGACCTCAATAATGTTTCTTTAAATTAAAAAAATAAATCTCTGCATGATTTGTATGCAATTGCAGTCAAAAATGTTAATGAAAACAAATATTTTCAAAGTTAACTCTTATTGTTTGTTTGTTTGATTGGGTTTTACGTCACACTGACACAGTATAGGTCATTTTGGCGATGTTCCAGCTTTACTGGTGTAGGAAGACCTCAGGTGCCCTTCCGTGTTTATTTCAGGCATGAACGGGCACCTGAATAGAACCACCGATGTTCCGTAAGCTAGCTGGAAAGCTTCCTCACATGAAAAACCCAAAGTCCCTGTCGGAATTCGAACTCACAGCGGTGAGGGGCAAGTTAACTCTTAAATATCTTTATATATATGCATAATGTATAAGCTCTTGATGCACTTACAGAATGTTTCAGTTACTACTATTTAAACCTAACTATTCAAACCAAGCGTGTTGATTGATCACTATGCCAAAAATAGAGACCAATCAACGTGCTGAACACCAAATTAATTTACCGGTACATTCAATGGAAATTGAGTTTAATATAATGTAGATCTATAATATTAGTAAGTCAGCTGATTTCTTTCTTTTATCATTATACAAGCACAATCATACCCTTGCAGTGTTAAGCACATCCGCTTCTGGGAGCCCGTCATACATCTTAATATAAACTTGGCATTCTCGGAACTTAAGATCTCTTATGCACAACTTGAACCTCTGTCCTTGCTCACTTTTGAACCGCACTGTACACCTATCTCTTGTACCTGTATAATATTCAATCAATAATTCAATATTGAAACTTAAACTTTACAGACAAGCTTATAAAGGGTAATGAAATAAATTCTCTTTGTAAATTAATACAACTTTACTTAAATCTGAGGTCATGTTGCTAAATGATCAATAATAAATTAATAAATAGATGTACCAGAATTATTAGAATTTATTATGCGTTTATCGTACACTATTGAGTACAATATTGAATTCTATAGCACAAATACACATGCAGCTGTCATTTGTCTTTTTTTAGTAACAGTGACTTTGACCTTAAACCTGGGGGTTCCTAAAACAATCAAATTACCTTGGTCTCTCCATAAGCTTGTTAAATGCCAAGATTGATGGCAATATCTCATTCCTAAATCTAGATATCATCCGGAAACCATTTTTCTATTTTTGGTAACAGTGTCATTGACCTTGACCCAAGGGGGTCTCATATATATCATTCCTTAGAGCGCGTTCTCCTCATAAGTTGCTACAATTACTAAGTTTGATTGCAATAACTCATTCCAAACTCCAGTTATATCCTCTGGAAACCATGAAGTGGACTGACAGACCCAACAAGCTTTGCTTGTGGGGGTATTGAATTAATATGGACTTTTTGTACTCTAAAAATGGCTACTAGACGGTGAACAATATGCATTTGATAGTAGATATTTTGGACTCTGAAACTGGAAACAAGGCTAGAGGAAGTTTAAATATACATGTAAATGTATAAAAAATATTTTACTTTGAAAATGAAAATGATGCTAATTAGAAAAGTATGATCCAATAATGATTTTTATTGGAACATCACATATGTAGTACACGGTGACAGCTAGTTCATTGGTTATATTTTATAACAAGTGACATAAAATGTTATATGTCACTTGCACACTCAGAACTTGATCATTTGATACGCAAGCGGTATCATAGGTTTATTGCATAGTTAATGCTTGACAAAACAAATATACAATAGTCAAATGAACAACTTTTATCAGAATTTAGATAATGCTTGACAAAACAAATATATACAATAATCCATTATGTACAACTTTTACCAGAATTTTAGTAACAATTAAATGTTTATTTATTGACAAATCATATCATAAAAGAACAGATGTTTCACACCTGGGATATCCTGACGAGGTTCGGCATAGATGTTGTATACATCCTGTTTTCTTACAACCACTGGTGTGCCTCGTGTACACACCCCTGTATTCTCCATATCCGCTGAAATAAGAGTATATAAATATGTGACAGTTAGTCAAAGGATTTCTAATATTCTAGAAGCCCCTAAATTTTGCGAAAGCAGCAAGAAATAAAACAAATGAATTTTAACTTAAATAAGTAAGAAAAAAAATAATTTAAATAAACTTACATGAATTTTCAATAGTTATTGACAATTATTAATTATAATTATACAATTATTATATTAGTGTAAATAAAACCTCAATACAATTTTAAATTTGTAAAAATCCATTATTTAAACTTAAAGGACTATCCTAACAGGATATACCAATATAACTAATATAATTATTTATTAGCAACTATTATAGCTAGACCATTTAGAAGTTTGTATGTATATACTGATGGCCTTAATATTTTGGTTGCTTAAAGATCCTGTATGTTGTAATTAAGGTTGTAACCACACTTAAGTGAAATTTTATGTATGTATATTATGAATTATGCTTCTAAAATAATTGTTATATTATATGATTTTGCAATAATCAGTTGAAAATCAGTATGAATTTTAATAATAACCAATTTGTCTTCTATTTCACTCAAAATTTCCTCAACAGGTTAGTAACATGACTGTTACTTAAATTATTAAAATTTCAATAAATCTGTTCATGGTGATATTATTAATTTACTTCTATTGAATAACTTAGAATGATGTTGTTAACCAATAAGAAATTGGTGTTTTTTGTGGGTTTTTTTTTTTTGTCAAATAGACAGCATTCAGTACTGTGGTTTTATTATTTTTACTCCTTTCAGTGAAAACTTAAACAATTAGTTCTTATAAAACATATGATTTTGATTGATGTCTGGATTTTTTCTCCAAAACTATGCAGTCAAACAGTCGTTTCTATTAATACTGTACATGTAATTCAATAGAAGGCAGGCATACAAATCTGCTGTAATTACTAACAACACTTTATTATTATAAGAATAATCAGAGTATTAATTTGACTATAAATACCTTGTTCTATTTCTATATTCAATTAATATACATCTAGGACAATTGATCTGAAAATTAGAATGTATCACTATTAAAAATACTAGTAAATAGCTTACCATTGAACTCATCAGCTGTGACTGTGCTGATGAACCACATGACAATGAGAATTACAGACCACATAGTATTGGTTTTGAAAACTTCACATTTCAACCTGAAATTATACAGAAATTTATATCTAAATGCTAATTTGAAAAGATTCTTTGAAGCTTCCTGACAATTATCTCAGTCTTACAGTATCAATGCTTAATGTCACTTTCTCACAATATCAATTATGTATATAATACTTCACTTATGAATTGATGGGTATATTTACTTATATCATATAATTTTATTGTATGTCCTAGCTAATATATCAAATAGTACTTAAGTTTGTAAAAAAATATTTCTACCAAGGCTTTGACAACAATAAACTTGGATTTATTAGAATCAAGAAATAAATATCCCAAACAGTGATTCTATCGCTATGTAGCAGGAATGCCTATCATTACATTTTACTGATAGAATCTCATTAATAGAATAATACATAAACAATGAATATTTTTCCTTAGCCTTATTTATTGATTGTCAATACAAAATCATTCAGCCAGCACTATTTTTTCTATCTATAGTAACAGTTAGCATAATTTAATGCATTATTTCATGATATTCATGCTAGTCATATCTTTTGTAAGGTTTTTATCTAATAGAGGGTTGTTCACTAAATTTAACTTAATACACTTTGACAATATATTTGTACAGCAAATTATTGATTCTTGATATTGTTTATTCAATATTTCGTAACATTCCTCTTTTTGTTATTAATTTTCAAGTCATTCAGTTTTATGAATTGTGTGATTGCAGAGAGAAGTGGCTTATAAGCCAGTTACATTTTCAGTGATTTTATTGCCTTGTCTACAGATACCAAAGGAAGAGTAATACCTATTATCACCTGACTTGGTCATTTCTCTCTATTTTCCCTATGATATTTTATTGTAACTTATATTTTCATTTCTTGGTACTTAAATTATATTAGAAATCAATTTAATATTTTGGCATTTTAACAACTTATCTAAAATCTGATTTACAATAAAACTGTTGAAATCTGAAATGCCTATCATTTCTTCTTATTTGAATTTTTTATTTAATCCTAAATATCAACCTGGGTAAATATCTAGGACGTTTATAAATCACTGTGTGTCCGTAAATTGTCAGTCAGCTACAATATAAATAAAATCACTGTATCACAAGTCTGGCACAGCCGTGTGATATAATGATGCAATATAATGATCCAAATGTTATCATTTTTTACAGACCTTGAAAATTAAATCTAGTGTTCAAACTAAGAAAAAAAGAGAGATATTAAAGTGTCGAGTTTTTCCCTTTAAACAAAGTAACTTACGTAGAGTGATGATTTCGCAAGACATGAAGATTAATGGGTTTTTAAAAGTTAAATTGTATTGATATTCTAAATTGTGAATAATGATAACTAATGTATCAATTGTCAAATACCATTGATATAAAATGTATATCAAGATTTTCAATGACAGCCCAACCATCCACCAAATATTCATACAGATAGTTCGATTTTGTAAATTATTTAAAAAAAGAACATTCATGTCATAGATTGAATTAATCTACCTTATGAGGAATACTGCAATGGTTGAACTCAAATTACTGTACAGTTTAAGTTAAATGTTTAAAATCTAGAGAATATTAATGTGTCATAACTTCATCATGAAAATATGAGGCATGTTTTGCTGTTACAGGTAGAAATATGTTTTTTGCGATTAATTATTGGTTTTCGAAAATGGTGTTTGTTATACTATAAAGGCTTGAAGTCGGTTAAAATGTGCTCAATAATTGATCCACACCTCAAGTGTCTGTGTAACAAACTTGTAAATATCTCACCTTTAATCAAATTTACCTGTATAGTCCACTTCCGTAAACAGAAGACGCCATCTATTATTGGAACGAATTCTCTCCCTTACTCATTACTTTGTTACCCGGCTTTGAATACGCTGATGGAATCAAGCCTGGATCAAGTAGCTACACTTCATTGGTCCTTTCAATACACACCTTTTAGTGTATTTTTGTTGTGTCAAGGTCGTGAATAAAAATGGCGACGATAGCGTACAATAGTGTACGAATATCACGGACATTCTCTAGTCGTGTAGGAACTATTTTAAATAATCGGAATGGCAGACTTATGCAATATACAAGACGCTACCTGAAAACCCAGGTAAATTTTCTTCTTTAACTAAAGATTGTCTAAAATTATGCGTTAAAATTGAACTAAACGACAATGTCATAATTTATTTTCAGTTTGACAATCAGCTGTGCGACATAGTGACACAGTTATCTAAAGGTTATAAACAAGAGATTGTTAAGAAGAATTGGGATTGATAATGAACTTCAAAATATGGACTATTCGTTACTGAATTAGAAAAAAATTGTGAAGACAAAATTTAATACAACTGTTTTTATTCTTGATTATTTTTTTTCTTCAGTTAGATCTATTATGATTATTATCAATTATTATCATTTTTCTTTCAATTTTGATCAACTATTTAAATGTTAAACATTAGAATTTAATTAGATAAATACCTAATCCTACAGATGAGGTTGCTTTGTGATAATCTTACTTACCGAAACGAGATCAGCTTCGCCTTCAAAACTAACTTGGCATCAGAGTTATCTTGGTCCTACTGTACTGTATAAGTGTATACTGGTTTGAGACCTGTCACCAAAACCGAACAACCACCAAACCCGGACGGCCCCGAAAAAGGCCTGATTTAGTTTTTTTTATTTATTAGGTGGTTGCTGATCTATCAGTTGCTTTTATATCAACAATAACTGCATGTTATATGATGTTTGTTCTATAATTAAGTAATTAAATTTATTCTATAATTAAGTAATTAAATTTATTTCAATTTTCGTAAACGGTACTGGTCAGGGACCACCAACCGGATAGTTCTTGAACATTTTTCCATACAAATTTTATAATTTTAAAGCTAGAGATCTGAAAATTTTACACAGTACAGCTAGGTTCTTCTCCGAACTAACCGACTAGTTTGTTTATTTCTGACTGTGTTGGTGGTCTCCAACCAGTAATATTTTAATGTCTTTTTCAAAAATGTTGACATTGAAAATTTGGACCTCAAGAGTGCAATACGTGACCTCCTATACTAGCTATAATCATTTGCAGAGTGAATAATAGAATATCCAAAACTTCATTATTTGCAGCTGAAAATATTTTAAATCATGTTAAAAACACCAAAGCTTTTATTGAACTAAATCAGCATCATGAACATATGTGTCCAGGCACATGGTACTGTAGTGTGGACAATTTAGGTAATTTTGATACCCTCCTTCACAGGCCTCAGATATAATAAGAGTCAACATAATCAGAAATAAACAAACTAGTCTGTTAATAAGGAGAAGAACCTAGCTGTACTGTATCAAATTTTCAGATCTCTAGCTTTAAACTGTTAAAATTATGAAATCTGTATGGAAAAATGTTCAAAAAGTGTCCGGTTGGTGGTCCCCGAGCGTGACCAGTATACAGGTGAAAGTGGTTTCGTCAAACTACCTGTTTAGAAAAAATTAAAACTCAGAAATTATGCAGGCAGACTGTCTCAGATTTTTCCACGACAAGTAAAAATCTGAGCCAGTGGAAAAAAAACAAAATACTGTCTTTTTACCACTTATCAATCAAGAAACATTTATTCTAGTAAGTTAAGTTATGAAATCTTAGTTTACTATATTAAGTACATGTATATACATTTTTTTTGTATCGATCAACAGTTTCACCCTTTAGGAGAACTCTTTTAGAAAAGCAATAGAATAGCAAAATCCCTAATATCTGTAGGCTTTATCTTTATGGAGGAAAAAACTTGTTTCAATGTAAATTTTAACATGCACATTTAGTTACAATTGTAAAGTTGTTTAAGTTCAAATTTTTACAATTGTACACAAGTCATTGACTTTGTTTTTAAATCTGATGAATCATTAAGTGTCCCATCAGAAAATATTCATCTGAATCATAGAGAAGCAAAAAAGAATGATCATTATAAAGGTCAAACCTTATATGAGCCGTGTCATGACAAAACCAACATAATGGGTTTGCGACCAGCATGGATCCAGACCAGCCTGCGCATCTGCGCAGTCTGATCAGGATCCATGCTGTTCGCTTATCGCTTATACCAACCCTATTACAAGTAGAGAAACTGATAGCGAACAGCATGAATCCTGATCAGACTGCGCGGATGCTCAGGCTGGTCTGGATCCATGCTGGTCGCAAACGCACTATGTTGGTTTTGTCATGACACGTCTCATATAATATAATGTTCAGATTTAATAAGCACCAAAATGATGATGTATTATAATGGTCCACTTCCATTGTCAGACATTTTGCAGTTTTTTGACTTTCAAATTTTGGAACTGAATGAAAGCCCTAGCTATTAAAGAAATTTGTAGAACGTTTCCTTAAACTACAGAAATTAAATCTGATCTTTACTTTTAGAAATTTGTTCACACCTTACTTTATGAAAAGACACTATTTCCACCTCAAACTTTCGTTAAAATATGGGTAAGTAAAGTTAAGCTGTGGACAACAGAAAGTGTCTGCCCAACTTCTCCGTGGGCAAGTCGCAAAAATTCATATTTCCACACTCCTCCCTGCTTAATGCATGAGTAAGTATTAATTCAAGCGCACTAATGGTAAGTGATTAAATGGCACCACATGTATGAATTGTTGTAACTTTGCCGCTTAGGTGACTGTCAGCTAATTTTGCCACATAATGTTTCATGTTATCAAAAAATGTTGTCTGTTATTTGAATCAAAATTTTTTTTAAGCATTTTCAATTTGCTTTAATCTGAAAGATTTTTAATTTCAATTTCATTTAATTTTCATGTAGATCATTTAAACACCTGTTGAAATGCAATGAAAAAATGTTTAATTTATCAGTGTATTATTCTTTTCTTGTTTAAGGTACTTTACTTACTTATATTAATAACAATTTTATGAAAAAGAAAATTGAATCGAATAAACAAAAATAACTTGCACAAAATAACTTGCACTTCTTTGAAAACATAATTTTTTAAATTTTTGTTCTTATTTAATTGAACAGACTTTTACCCATAATGCCATGTCAGCACCAGGTCCTGCTGTCTACTAATGGTGATTATTTTTTCATTAAATTTTGACACTGCCAACTTGTGACTATTATATATATACTTTCAGGATGGAAAGAAAGTTGATTTTGGATTCTTGTTCGATATAGACGGGGTAATTGTCAGGGGGAAGAAACTCTTGCCGTCTGCCAAAGATGCATTTCGCATGTTAATTGACGACCATGGCAAATTTAAAGTTCCTGTACTATTCGTTACAAATGCTGGCAACACTTTACGACAGAAAAAGGCTAAAGCATTGTCCGATTGGTTGGATATAGAGGTATGTATACTTTTGACTTTATTTCTAGGCCAGAAGGTATATTGAGTCAATTGACCTTTGTTGTTTGCATTCAGTTTGCAGTCTTGTTATTTGTTTTTCTCCTTCTCATTTATCACTTCACATTTGTAAGTAATATTCATCAGTGTGTATTCATCATAAACAGTATAGTTAGTAATCTTTATCTAGAGTATTCATAAACCTTGCAGTTAGTATTTGCCATTATAAACATTATTGTTAGTATTCATCAGAAGCATCATAATGTTAGTATTCAGTATTTGTTAGAAACAATTTACAGTAGAAAATCATCATTGTACACTTACTGTTTGTATTCATGATAAAATAATGACATCAGTAATGTTACCTTTTTTTGTTTATTAAAATCATTACTATTACTAAGGTATAATATCAGAAACATCACAGTCAGTGTTCATGATATATATTAACAAGTTTATGCTAGTTTTCATTGTTAAAGCTGCATGCCTCCAGATGAGTCAAAATATTTCAGTAAAATCAAACTTGAGAAAAATTTACTTAGATGTAAGGAAAAGTAAAAAATTTAAAGATTCATGTAATACTTTACAATGTACATATTGTGTGCGATTAATGACAGTGATTTTTCAGCATTTGCAACTACATTTCTACTGTGTTACTAATGCAGTAAAAATTTTTGCATATTTTTACCACTTTTTGGTAACTTACGTGGTTTGCCATTGATAAAAATTTGTAAAGTGCTTCCTTATGGTAAATATTACTTACACATTACTCAATATTACTCATTCAAATTCATTTTCAATATTTTCACGAAAATTAGCATGAATCTGGAGGCATGCTGCTGTAAACAGTAAATGTTAATATTCATAGGAAACTTTTTTGTTAGTACATGTTTTCATCAAAAACATTTAGTAAATATTCATAATTAAACAGTTAATTAATTAATTGGATCATTGGAAGGATATTTCACAAGTTATCTTACATACACTAAGTAAGGTAGTTTGTGTTCAGCAGTTAAACTAATTTAATATTATTAATTTTTGGTTCGTTATGACCAGTTTGTGTCAGTGTTTGCCATTTAACTCAAACAAACAAACAAGTTTTTCAGAACAGTTAAATTATGCACCCAGCAAGTTGCAACATATACATGTCTGTAGCATCAGAATACATGTATATTACAGAACATGCTGGTTGACCTAGCAATCAGAGTGTAACATACAAGTTACAATAGCTAAGATTTTCTACAACAGGTTAAGTGTCACTAGTGAACCAGTACAAACAAACTAGGACACTTAAAAACTTGATCACCTGCCGGAACAATAGGAAAAAAAATATGTATGTTAAAAAAATAGGCCATGCATAGAACATAAAAATAGATATATTTGTTTCCTAATATTATGCATATAGGTTAAGGCTGAAGATTTTGTTTTATAAGTTTAATTATGAATTTAAAAGTCAATAATTAGGTATTTTTGTGCAAAAAATAACAGTATTAGTACTAGTGCAGAGCAGATACTGATTAGAAATTTAATGTCCAATACTGGTAGAAAGAATAAAATGTTTATAGTACTGATAGTGAGAATAAAATGCCCAGCACTGATAGTGAGAATAAAATGCCCAGAATTGATAGTGAGAATAGAAGGCCCAGTACTGATAGTGAGAATAAAATGCCCAGTAATGATAGTGAGAAAAGAATGCCCAGCACTGATAGTGAGACTAGAATGCCCAGTAATGAAAGTGAGAAAAGAAGGCCCAGAACTGATTGTGAGACTAGAATGCCCAGCACTGATAATTAGAATAGAATGCCCAGAAATGATAGTGAGAATAGAATGCCTAGTACTGACAGTGAGAATAGAAGGTCCAGTACTGATAGTGAGAATAGAAGGCCCAGTACTGAAAGTGAGAAAAGAAGGCCCAGAACTGATTGTGGGACTAGAATGCCCAGCACTGATAATTAGAATAGAACGCCCAGAAATGATAGTGAGAATAGAATGCCTAGTACTGACAGTGACAATAGAAGACCCAGTACTGATAGTGAGAATAGAAGGCCCAGTACTGAAAGTGAGAAAAGAAGGCCCAGAACTGATTGTGAGACTAGAATGCCCAGTACTGATAATTAGAATAGAATGCCCAGAAATGATAGTGAGAATAGAATGCATAGTACTGACAGTGAGAATAGAATGCCCAGTACTGATTGTGAGAATAGAATGCCCATTAGAGATAGTAAGAATAGAATTTCCAGTACTAATAGTGAGAATACAATGCCCAGTACTGATAGTGAGAATAGAATGCCCAGTACTGATACTGAGAATAGAATGCCCAGTACTGATACTGAGAATGGAATGCCCAGTACTGATAGTGAGAATTAAATGCACAGTACTGATATTGAGAATAAAATGCCCAGTACTGATAGTGACAATAGAATGCCCAGTACTGATACTGAGAATAGTATGCCCAGTACTGATTGTGAGAATAGAATGCACATTAGTTGTAGTGAGAATAGAATGTCCAGTACTGATAGTGAGAATGGAATGCCAAGTACTGATATTGAGAATGGAATGCCCTGTACTGATACTGAGAAAAGAATGCCCAGTACTGATACTGAGAATAGTATGCCCAGTACTGATAGTGAGAAAAGAATGCCCAGTACTGATACTGAGAATGGAATGTCCAGTACTGATAGTGAGAATAGAATGCCGAGTAATGATAGTGAGAATGGAATGCCCTGTACTGATACTGAGAAAAGAATGCCCAGTACTGATAGTGAGAAAAGAATGCCCAGTACTGATACTGAGAATGGAATGTCCAGTACTGATAGTGAGAATAGAATGCCCAGTACTTATAGTGAGAATGGAATGTCAAGTACTTATAGTGAGAATAGAATGCCAAGTACTGATACTGAGAATGGAATGTCCAGTACTGATGGTGAGAATACTATGCCCAGTACTGATACTGAGAATGGAATGTCCAGTACTGATAGTGAGAATACAATGCCCAGTACTTAAAGTGAGAATAGAATGTCCAATACTGATAATGAGAATAGAATGCCCAGTACTGATACTGAGAATGGAATGTCCAGTACTGATAGTGAGAATAGAATGCCCAGTACTGATAGTGAGAATAGAATGCCCAGTACTGATAGTGAGAATGGAATGTCCAGTACTGATAGTGAGAATATAAGGCCCAGTACTGATACTGAGAATAGAATGCCCAGTACTGATTGTGAGAATAGAATGTCCAGTACTGATAGTGAGATTAGAATGCCCAGTACTGATAGTGAGAATGGAATGTCCAGTACTGATACTGAGAATTGAATGCCCAGTACTGATATTGAGAATGGAATACCCAGTACTGATATTGAGAATTGAATGCCCTGTACTGATATTGAGAATAGAATCTCCAGTACTGATACTGAGAATAGAATGCCCAATACTGATATTGAGAATTGAATGCCCAGTACTGATATTGAGAATAGAATGGCCAGTACTGATATTGAGAATAAAATGTCCAGTACTGATACTGAGAATGGAATGCCCAGTACTGATATTGAGAATTAAATGCCCAGTACTGATATTGAGAATGGATTGCCCAGTACTGATATTGAGAATAGAATGCCCAGTACTGATACTGAGAATAGAAGGTTCAGTATTGATAATTAAAGTGCATGTAAGAATTAAAGGTTCAGTACTTTATAGTATAATAGAAAGTATAAAAGGTTCATTTATCAAGAATTCTTTTCTATTTAAATAGTAATGTGATACAGATTAGTTTAAATCATGTGTAATTACACAATTCTTGCTTATAATAGCATTACAAATTTTATGTCTTTTCTTAGAGGTATTTTGGGACCAAATTTTGCAGTATTTTTTGTCAGTTGTAGTCAGTTAAAAGGTAAATAACCTCCAAGTATGTCAGATGTTATCTAATTATGACTTAAAGCATTATAATTTGTGACTTTTGTTGTAACTAAATTAGCCTTGTCATAGAGTGAGAACAGTGACATTTCTGTTACAAATTGGTTTCACTTTGATAAACTTCAGGTTTAAGTTCAAAGGGTAAAATGTGATGTGAAAAGAAAGAATCATAATTATCCAACTTTCAGATGGTTGGTTTTAAGTGAAAAGGTCTAAAATGGGCACAATATCCATAAGTATTTCAAATATTGAAGAAATAACAATAGTTAAATGTATCATTTGTATATTCTTATGAAATGTTGCTTTAAAAAAAAAAAGGTCCAAAAAGTTGTACTTGAGTAATGTAGAATGAACATGTATATGATGAATAATAATATTTTGTATTAGAACTTTTTAATTATTATCCGCTATATACATGTAAATATATGAAATATCACATCGTGTACTAGTATCTCACATATTTTGTCAACAATTTCAATGTATAGTTGTTTCGCGACTTGAATTTTACTGTTTAATGTCTAATACTTAAAACACTATCAAAGTAAATTATTCATTGTATTACAGACCTTTCATTATAGACCAATTCTAAATCAAATAGATATGTTTTGGTACCGGATTTGTTTATTATAATTTATGTTTGTAACAGCAATATCCTGATTAATACAATGTACATGTAGTTATAACCCCTGGTCTGTGGGGTCACAAAAAGACAGTAATTAAAACCTCAGTTTTGTTTTTGCTCTGATTTTAGAATATTTTTGGGGGCATCCATGGCCAAGTCAGGTTTTAGATCATTGACTCCTGATCACTTGCCCTTAGAGCTATAGAATTGAGCCGCAGGTTTATCATAATTAAATGTATTCAATTCTAGTAAATGCTGAAATAAAGCGTGAAAATGTTTTCTTCCGTAAATTTTTTGCTTTTCTAAACGGCCTCTAAGTTAAAATATATACAGTAGTTGGCACATGATACTGAAAAAAAAGAGTTTTTTTTTCCATTATTCCAAACTGGATTTCATGCTAATTATTTGAATTTGACTGAATAATATTTACATGCAAAACAATTAGACACTCCTGACACACATCAAACAACAATGTGTTTTAAATCTTTGAAATCTATTTTCAAGTCAAAGCATGTTCTAATTCTGTACATAATTCTTATATATATATCAAATATCATGGTGATGGTTACTAGGGGTCTAAAGTAAAAGGATCTCTTATTTTTAACAAAAAATAACAAATGATGATTTCCTACAACAACAACAACAACAACAACAAACAGCAATATAAAACCTTTCTTGTTTATATTCTACTAATTGTTCAAACATAAAAAGTTTAATTGCACTTTCCACACTGAGCATTCAAAGTTAAAGGAACTTTACTTATCATGTATTTATAACATTACATTATGTACATGATTGTGTATTAGATCAATATGTACATATTTGTCCATAATCTAGGCTAATGTATCAAGGTCATTTATATTTTTGACTGTTTTTATCAACAAACAGTATAAAAATGTCCAGTTTAAGTTCAATGCAAAGTTCAACATTTTGTTTTTCTCCATTTCAAATCTTAAGTCCGAGTCCTGGCAAATATACAGGGATTTATTTTTACTTACCTGGTCAGGGGTGCATGCAGCTTAATTAGTGTTGAGTTTCCTAAAATATAAAAATATAAGCACAATATGAGCATAAACCTCTTCAAATAATTAATGGTACATGTTTATATATCTTGGGGTGCAGAACGGGGGGGGGGGGTACATTAATTAACTAGGGAAGGTATAGCACCAACAGCACAATTTTTAGTCTGTCATGTTAATTTTTGAAGGCTTTTTCCTTGCAAAAACTTGATACAAAATGTATACTTAAACTTACAATTTAAGGCTGAGACCTTTGGGAGATAGGGTGAGAGGAATACATATATGTATGGTATTTTTAAAACAATGCAGCCTACTCAACTAGGAAGAGTGGTATAAAATATGATATTTTATTAACACAATTCAGCCTCTAGTGGGATAGTGGTAGAATATATGATATTTGAATAACAATTCAGCCTCAGTGATTCTGCTTCTCATACACAGTGTAAAATGAATTCCAAAACCAAAGAATGCTAAAGTATGAAATTTTATTACAGATTGTTGCAGACCAAGTGGTTATGTCTCACAGTCCGTTGAAGATGTTTAAACAATTTCATGACAAACATATACTCGTGTCCGGGCAAGGCCCGGTTGTAGAAATAGCGGAGGGTTTAGGCTTCACTCATATAACCACAATGGATACCCTCCGACAGTGCTTCCCACATCTAGATATGGTCGACCATAACAGAAGAAAACCTGCGGTAAGTTAGGTTTTCTTTCTTTTTTTCTTTTCAACATATGATGAAACAATTACTAAAGTGGTGATCTAATAGCATTTATTTTAAGAGTATTAAACTTGATACGGAAGTTGTGAGTGGATTTTGTCATAACGGCTTAGATCTTAAAACGTGCAAAGCACCTTGTATGTTCATGTGTAGTTTAAAATCCATGAGAGCAAGCCTAATACAAGTTACAGATAGAAAAATTCTTGGATGAATGATGATCTTTAAATTACATACATACCTTCAAGTATTTTAATATTATATTCAAGTGTAATATAAGGTATTTAAGTCAAGGTCATTCTGAATCACACTCATTTACAATTTAGGATTTTCTTTCTGTTGGACGGACAGTCACGATAGACAGTGGTGTTTGAACAATTGTGATACATGCAGTATTATATACATGTATAATAGCAAAGTATGCACACTAATTGTAGTAGATCATTGGCTGTGTTTATTCTAAAAGCCATAATTAAAATCTATTCAGGTCATATCAGTGACCTTTAGAAAATTAAGTACCTATAAACTAGCAATATTTTTTGTTTGTTTCGTACTCCCCATATTATGGACATACTTTGAAAAATAGTCTTGGGGTATCATGTTATTTTATTAAATTTAGCCTGAAATTGCCTGAAATGAGCCTTTGCATCATCATGAAGGCAAATATTTACCTCCCTTTTTGCTTCATAAATGGACATAAATTATAAGGACCGTCAAGAATTTTTACATGCCCATATAGATTCTAGTTTGAAAAAGAATTTTGAGGTACTTATAAATGGTAAAACTGCTAGTCAGATTTCCTTGTAACACGCAGGAAAAAAAAAAAAACGACAAATTTTCAAATCTTGAACAACTTTGAATATTCAAGCAAAATCAGCAGCTATAATCCTATTGCTTTAGAAGATAATAAAATTTTATTCTGACTTGATACAATGGTTTGAATCTCAAGCTACGTGTGATGCTGCCAAAATACCAATGGCTTCAAATGTTTAGTAGAAGTGCCTGATTTTCCACTGCACATGATTGTTTTATATGACGTAAAATATCTTACGGCAGTAAACAGTTGCAGATTCTGTAGGCACTTGTTACATAAAATAAATAAGTTATGTATCTGATTTGGCAAGACTGGCAGGAGCTGTAAAGTGATGGAAATATGTCCAATTTATATGTGCAGCATATTTATGCATAATAAATGCAAGACTCTCAGTTGGGGGTTGGGAAGAAAATAATCAAAGAATTCTTCAGGTATTTCTATCCAGAGTTTGAATATATCGAAGATGACAATGACTTATATAATAATATATTCTTGATTTTTTCTTCAGTACCCTAACCACACTAAATATCTTAAATGGATTCTTCCATCTGTAGATCCGGATGAAACCATTCATCTTTTTTAGGGAAAATGTCAAAATATTAGTTCTGACTGAATCTGACTGAATAGGGAATAGTGACAGGCAACATATGTGTGCTAGCTCAGACTTTGGTTTGTACTGGTCACATTTGTAGTTTAATTTGCCACCAGCAGGTTAAATTATTTTTTTTTCTCGGACATAATTATGTCCTGCTTTGAAATTGTGATTACACATTAACAGTTCATTTCAACAATGCCCTATAAGAAATACAAACACAATGCTAGAATTATAAGCAACCAAGGCAGCATAAAATCATGCTAGGCTGCATGGATGTGCCATCCATCTACGCTTCTTGTTACTTAAGCGTTCTAATATTATAGGAGTTTCTTTTATATATAAACAGAAATCTCAAAGATATTTAAGCAAATCTATGAAACAGCCATATTGCTTTATTGATTTAATTAAGATATTTTTTAAGTACATGAATAAGTAACCTTAAGCAAAATTCTTTAAATTCACATTTATTTTCAGTAATGTTACCTTGACCTAGTTTTCAATGAACTTTAACCTAATTCAATCTGCAATATACAAGCAGATGTTATTTATACCTATTATTATTTATAGTAAGTTTGTCTGTAATCCGGGACAATTTTACAATCATTGTATGCTACTGTTGTTGTTTACATAACCATTGATCACAAATCATAAACATAAAAACATAAACAACTGTTTTACTGGTAGGAATGATATCTTAAAATAAATGGCCCTGGAATTTAACCATTTGTCTGCTTGGGGCAACATATTCTACTCATACAACCAGTGCTGACCAAGATCAGTCTGTTTTTCCATGTATTCTGATCATTGTCTGCAGTCAGTACTTGGAAATTTTCCCTAAAAATGACGAATGTTTTTTTTTTGTCCCAACTGAATGATGGACGAGGCCATTTAAGATATCTAGCGTGGGAAGGGTTGAACAAGGAAACCCTATGTAGTTTTTAAACATGCAGTGGTCAAACATTTAATATTGAATAGGCCAGTTTAGAGTGTCATTTTCTATTAACAGATTTGTGTCAGTCTTTATCGTACAGTTATCAATACTTTCTGATAGACTAAGTTGGAAACTGACTTAAATAACTGCTAATTTGGAAATAAACATTTAAATTTAAAAGGCTATTATATCTTTTTAAATAAAAGTGTTCACCAATTAAATAAAAAACAACATTTTGGGAAATATTACTTTTTTGTTTGTTCAAAAAGGTTTGCACATTCTTCTATTAAATCACTACAATTTGTTAATTTATTTGTTCACTGCTGCTTTTCTTCCCTTAATTTTTGCATGGTTAAAATTTGGCGGGATTCCAAAATTGGAGGGGTTAAGTAAACTTTCGGGTTTTGCCCCTTTAAATTTTTATAAAATAATAAATACTTTGGCCCCAACCTAATACAATTGTAATTCTGAAAACCTTTCCCGAATTTTCAAAATGAATTGTTTTTTCTTTTTGGGAAAAAACAAACCCGTATTGGGGATTTTAAGAATTAATTTTAATTAAATTTTAAATTGGCCTTTTTGTTAACTTTTTATTGTTGTGTTCATTTTTTTAAGGAAAGTTTATTTATTCTTCTTTCCATAGATGTATTTGCATACAAATAGATTAACTTTATTTTATTTAGGAATAATAACCCCGGAAAAAACTTGTATGTTAAAATAAATGTTAACAATCGTTCAAATATATAAGTTTTAAAAGGATACTCCACATTATATGTTACCAAATCAGCATCAAGATTCTATTTCATTGTTTTAAGTTATCAAGAAAATTTAAGTTTTTTTTTCATTTGGTTTATTTCTTTCACAACAAAAGACAAACTGCATGGTATCTTGGACCAAGGGAAGATTTTCCCCATTTTCATTTAAATTCTATATTTACCAAACACATAAAAAAAAGTTGACCCTTTGAGGTAAAATGTAACACACCCTTGAGGAAAACAATTGTTTCCCTTAATATGAAAAAAAAATCCCATACACGCTAATTCCAAACCCTAACCTTGTCCTCTTTTAGGAAATTTACAACATTAACTAATTTTTCACTAATGTCCTAAAAAATTTTTGGGGGAAATTTACCCAACATAACTAAAGGGCTCTTTTTGTCCATTAACTTGAGGAAGCAAAAAAACCTAAATAAAAAAGGCCACTGTATTTTCAAAATTTTGGGGGAAATCAAATAAAATTTAAAAATTTTGTCAGCCAACAGTACAAAGTTGTTCTGAGGTTGGCCTGGTTCTTTATACTGGTTGCAAAAGCTAATCATTTTTGGTTCCAGATGGGGAAGGGTTAAACACTGGAATTACATAGGCCTCTTCCAAAAGTGAAAAAGTTTTACTGTTTTTTTTTCCAGCTGTGATATTGTTTGGTGAGCCAGTGAGATGGGAGACTAACTTACAGCTTGTTATAGACACGTTATTATCCAATGGCAAGCCTTGTACGGCTCCTAAAGAAATCCCTTACCCACATATGCCAGTTTTAGCCTGCAATATGGATCTGTTATGGATGGCCGAGGCCTGTATGCCAAGGTAAGTTCTAGTGACAATCTTAACTTGTATCAATTCGCTCTAGAGAGCAAAGTAGGAAATTTATTACCAAAATTGATCTACTTTGGCTGGTAATATTGACCTACTTTGGATCACAAAAGCGTCTATACCAAGGTAAATTTTTACCTTGATTATTGGAAGAATATGGAGAGCAAATGTACTCACCCAGGCGTTGTTGTTACACATTGGTTTAGTTTAGGACTGGTGTGCAAGTGAGCATCTTCAAACCTACTGAAGGGAATGGGTTGAAAGTTTACACACTTATTTTAGAGCATAACAGGAGGCCCAATATTCTTAACTCTTACATGTAATTGTGACAGAATTATGGCCCTTAACATTAGAACTTAGAAAATTTCTATATTATCCAGACCCTTTTGTTTTACTATCAAGCACAGAGAATATAGTCAAGCACACTGTGCTTGTTTATGCAAAGTGACAGTCTATTGTTTTGTTTATGTTCAATAGAACAATAATAATATGATATAGATCCTTTTACAATGTCACACACATGCCTGTTTTGACTGGTCAATATTGACCTTCTATGCAGGCAGAGGTAAGAAAGGCACAAAATGACAGTCTTTACTTTCAACGTTTAATTCAACAACTAAGATACCATATAGGATAGTAAGATTATAAACATGACAAACTTAGCAAATTTAGGTCAGAAAATATGAATTGAATATATATTGTAAAAAAAAGTTTAAAGGAGAATAAAAAGTCTACATACATGGATATATTTGGCTTTTTGACAAGAGGGTAAGGTATGAGATATTGTGCTATTTTGTGTATGGGCAATATAGCGACATTCTGACCCAGAACAAAAATATCTCAGAATCTAGCTAAATTGGCACGCGAAGATATTTTGACTAGTACCTGTCTTGAGTACAAACAGTTTTTAGCTCGACTTTTCTATGAAAAGGGGAGCTATCCTACTCGCCCCGGCGTCGGCGTCGGCGTTGGCGTCACACCTTGGTTAAGTTTTTCGTACCACCCCACTTAATTTCAGAAGTATTACAAGTATGGCTTTGAAACTTACCATACTTGTTCACCATCATAACCTCCATCTACAGACAAGAGTACATAACTCTGTCAAGGTTTTTGACAGAATTATGGCCCTTTTTTGACTTAGAAAGTGTATTGAGATTGGTTAAGTTTTTTGTACCACCTCACTTTATTTCAAAACCATTGGAGGTATTGCTTTGAAACTGACCATACTTGTTTACCATCACGACCTTCATCAACAGACAAGAGGACATAACTCTGTCAAGGTTTTTGACAGAATTATGCCCCTTTTTGACTTAGAAAATACATTGAATATGGGTAAAATCCACTTATTGCCTTAACCCTTTGAGATATTGCTTTGAAACTTTTAATGCTATTTCACATCATTACCCCCATCTGTACGCAAGAGAAGGTAACTCTGTCAAGGATTTGTTTTAAAAATTAAGGCCTTTTATCGACTTAGAATCTTGGTTAAGTTTTTAGTACCAGTCCACTTTTTGACTGAACTGTTTGAGATATTAATTTGAAAGTTGGAATACTTGTTTACAATCATGATTCCCAAACATGTCCAGGAGAAGGTAATTCTGTCAAAGATTTTATTTGAATTATGGCCCTTAACTGGCAATGTTTTGTATTATAGGCAAGCACTAAAAAACTTAAAAAATCTAAAAAAATTCATTCCTATCCACTGAACCTGCAGTGTTCAAGGGTATCACACAATTCAGTAAAATAATTCTTCACTAAATATCTTAATGCTCATGGCCATTGTTCACTTTAAAAATACAGAGATTCTTGTATTGCCTTTTACTGCAAAAACTTTTTTTATTGGCAAGCAATAAAAAAGTCGAGCGCGCTGTCTACGGACAGCTCTTGTTTGTGTTGTGTTAGGCCATAGAAACCAATGTCAAATGACAGGTTTCAATGATCTATTGACAGATCCAAAAATGATAGTAATATTGGCTTGTTGCTATGTCAATCCTTTTATTAATGGTTTCTAATTTGTTGAGTTGAATTTTTTTCTCCACAATTGCTTTTAACTTGTGTTTCAGGTTTGGCCATGGCTGCTTCTTGACAAGTTTAGAGAGTTTATATCAGGTATTTATTATTTAAGTTTGATATAAGAAATTACCTTTACAGATTTGAACATAAATCTTGTAAATATTTCTGTCGTTATTTTGATAATACATGTATCAGATTTTGAATATTTTTCCGTTTGTTTTTTTTTATTGTTTTTTTGCTGCACTGACACAGCAGAGATCATATGGTGACGTTCCAGCTTTACAGGTGGAGGGTGACCTCAGGTGCCCTTCTGTGCATTATTTCAGACATAAACAGGCGCCTGAGTAGAAGCACTGACTTCGGTAATTTTGAAATTTAAATAATTCTTTTATCTAGGTAATATTTTGGTTTATCTGTGCAGTTTATCTGACATGAAAAATGTTGGTATCCACTTGCTTAGCTAATTAGGGAGAGCATTGGATTTGTAATATAGGGGTTACAGGTTTGATCCTTTGCAGAGGCAGGAATTTTTCCGTGATATGATTGATCTCATATATTGAGTCTGATGGTTATTTGTCCGTCACCGCTGACTAGAATATTTGTTTCCCTTTTTCATAAATGTTGATTAAGAAATCATGTGGGGTACGCAGTGTGTAAATTGGTAATTAATTTTTACTTGGTTAGTTATCCAGGAAAGCCAGTTAAGTTGGACTGACCATGATGATATGACCAGAAATGTGTGAAAATCAGGGTAAAAACAGACACAAAATAAATTTAAAATTGGAAAGTAAATGTCCTTGATTTTAAATGTTTTACATCAACAGACATGTCTTAATTTATATAGTCCATGACAAAGTATACATGTATTATAAGTTTTATATGACTGATCCATCACAAGAAGCAAATAAGCAGAAAAGGGCTTTCTGGGTATGATAGGATAACTGAAATGTCATGTGTCATTTTTCCTCAGAAAATCTCTGGCAGAGAGTTGAAATACACGGCATTGGTCGGCAAGCCAAGTGAACTGACATACCGTCATGCCGATTTTCTTCTGTATGAACAAGCAAGGGACATGGGAATGAATGGGATCAATACAATCTATTGTATAGGGTAAAAATATTTCTTTATTATACCCCCGCACAACAAAGTTGTAAGGGGGGTATACTGGAATCAGCTTGTCCGTCCGTCCGGCCGTCGGTTTTTTCTTGTCCGCCCAATAACTTAAGATTCCTTTGACCCTTAGTCTTCATATTTGGCATGGAGGTTAGTCATGATTAGTAGATGACCCCTATTGATTTTGAGGTCACTAGGTCAAAGGTCAAGGTCACAGGGGCCTTGACTTCAAAAAGCTTGTCCGCCCAATAACTTAAGATTCCTTTGACCTACAGTCGTCATATTTGGCATGGAGGTTAGTCATGATTAGTAGATGACCCCTATTGATTTTGAGGTCACCAGGTCAAAGGTCAAGGTCACAGGGGCCTTGACTTCAAAAAAAGCTTGTCCACCCAATAACTTAAGATTCCTTTGACCCACAGTCTTCATATTTGGCATGGAGGAAAGTCGTGATTAGTAGATGACCCCTATTGATTTTGAGGTCACCAGGTCAAAGGTCAAGGTCACAGGGGCCTTGACTTCTAAAAGCTTGTCGGCCCAATAACTTGATTCCTTTGACCCATAGTCTTCATATTTGGCATTGAGGTTAGTCATGATTAGTAGATGACCCCTATTGACTTTGAGGTCACCAGGTCAAAGGTCAAGGTCACAGGGGCCTTGACTTCAAAAAGCTTGTCTGCCCAATAACTTAAGATTCCTATGACCCACAGTCTTCATATTTGGAATGGAGGTTAGTCATGATTAGTAGATGACCCCTTTTGATTTTGAGGTCACTGGATCAAAGGTCAAGGTCATAGGGACTTTGACTTCAAAAAGTTTGTCCACCCATTAACTTAAGATTCCTTTAACCCACAGTCTTCATATTTGGCATGGATGTTGATCATGACTATAAGGTGACCCCTATTGATTTTGAGGTCACTGGGTCAAAGGTCAAGGTCACAGGGACCTTGACAAAAAAAAGCTTTTCTTCTCAATTGCTAAAGAATGTCCTGTCCGCAATGTATTGATTTTGACATTTTCACATTTGAAGCATGTAGAATACATAACTTAGCAATGCACTGGCTTAGTAACCTCAGATTTGGCAGGGAGGTTGTCCTTGAGCTCTAAATGGCCACTGTTGATTCTGACAAAGTGGTATGCGGGGGTATTCACGCCATCATAGTGGCAGTTCTAGTTTTTTACTAACATTTTAAAGCAGCATGCCTCCACATTCACGCTAATTTTAATGAAAATTTTAAAAAAGTATAAAAAGAGTCAAATATTGTCAAGTGAACAAAGAAAGTAATTTATGCAGTGTAAGTAGCACTTACAATCCATGTAAGTAACCAAACAAAGGAAAAATAGCCCTTACATTCACACAGTAGAATTATTGTGATAAATACTGCCAGATGACATGTAAATTATTACTTTTTTCAAAATTTTACTACATTTTACACAAGTTTAGTTTTCCTGAAATATTTTGACTCATGAATCTGGAGGCATGCAGCTTTAAGTTTTTATGAGGAAAAAGCAAATCATCAGAAAAGATCCTTCAGTGGCTGGTATTCGAACTTTTGACCACCTGCTTTTAAGCAAAAGTAACAACCACTGAGCCAAAGATTGGGTTCAAGGACACAGGCATCAGTGGTTGTACTTATAGGTATGAAATTAGGGGTGTGTACTTGACTGCAACAACTTTTGTGTTACTCTTTTAGTCTTCTGAGAATAATAGTTTCTATGCCAATAGATGCAGTTAAGAATGGGGTAGGTGAATGGGGCAAAAATATATATTTTGTTATCTTGTGCTGATAAAATATGTGTTTCTGAGTTATTGCACATTATGAATTGAATTTAAAATTGCCATTTTTTTCTCCAGTAAAATTTCTATACGAGTAGAAATTTAAACTGCTTTGTTAAAATTTAATGAAAATTAGCATGATGTATATACTAAATACATGGCGAATCTTAAATGCTGTCATAATCCACCAATAATTATGTTTATCAGGTATTTCTATCCATAGCCATATCTTAGTTCAGAAGAATACATCAAAGTTACCTCCTTTTGATAAAATCCACCATTGTATTACAAAATTAAAACTACAAATGTATTAAATGGTAATGACTGTGTTAGGCTTTATTATCTTGCTTAGGTGGTTTAGATTTGTGCAATAATTCATGCCATCTGATCATGGTCTGCACTGTTTGTTATTCAGTTTGTACATATTCTGAAATTACCCAAATATATGGTGGCTGATTTTGTACATTTTGTGCGTCTAGTTGGCGCTAGCGACAATACGCTAAACGGCGCTTTGTCAGACTTTCGTCTTATCGTCCTGTTGCTAGCTACAACACACCAAAGCGCCAAACGGTGCGTTTTAGCGCTGTCATCCTGTCTCTAGCGTGGCACACCAAACAACGCATTTTCGTGTGGCGCGATATAGCCCTGTCGCTTGACTTATAAGCCAATCCTTAATTTGAACCGAGTGATAATGCGACATCACAACAACATGCTGCACTGGAGACAGGGCGACAAGACGACAGTGTGACAACAAGCCGTTTGGCACTTTGTCCTGTTGTCGCTTACGCCAACACGACGCCCAAAAGTGTACAAAATCAGCCAACATACAAATATGATAATTGGTCTTGTCTAGTTTGAAAAATGGACAAGTTCATTTCCGATATTTAGCATCATAATGATTACAGCTTTATAATATTCCATTTATATTTTTTCAGTGACAATCCAGAATCGGACATATATGGAGCAAATTTGTATGACAAATATCTTCAGAAGCGTGTTATGAATACTAATGTCAATTTACTGAAGCGTACACAGCAGCAGACGGCCGGATCTCAAATGATCGATATGGACGAAACAGATGGCGAATCTGATTTAGACTCGGAACGTTTATCTGCTTTCAAGGAGGATTTACATGAAGTGTACGCTAAAAGTTGTCAGTCGATTCTAGTATGCACCGGTGTGTATTGTTCGTCAAGAGACTATGTAACATACGGGCGAGCTAGGTCATCCAATCATAATCACCGAGACTTTGTTCTAGATCCGGTTCTTACTCAACCGAAGTTTGTGACTCAAAATGTACACGAGGCTGTGAAGCTCGTTTTTCAGAAAGAGAAGGTTGTGTCCCCATTTATAAGTTGATGAAGGCTTTGTGATTAGAGAGACTGGTTTGCAGATATAGTATCTCAATAACTTTTAGAATCTGATTTTTTGTTTCATTGTTTTAGGTTTTTTACATGGCAGTTTTCTTTAATTATAGAGAAAACGTTTTCACTGTTTGCTTTTTACTTTTTTTTTCATCTTTTCTTTTTATTAAATATCTTTGTTTTTTCTTTAAACAAAACCAGAATGAATGTACTTGTTGTCAGAATACATGCATTTAATGAGTAACTAGTTGGAGAATGTTATAGATTACATTATGTATTGTTTTCACTGCTTGAATATTACGCTGAATATGGTTGTAGTATTTCAGATTAGTTTCGAAACATTTAAAAAAAAGCGGTTGCAACCTGGCATGTAATTTCTTAATTTATTTTTAAGTCATGCACTCATAGAATTTTAGAAAATGTGAAGGACCTCATCACAAACACTGGATGACTTTGGTAAATTGGCTGTGTTTATATGATTACACTATGAGACTCACCTGAAAACGCTGGTTATATTATTAGTTATAAAGATTTTTGACAGGATATATGGCCCTATATAAACGGTTGTTTGTGAATATAACCCAAGCCGCTAGGCGAGGGTAATATTGCAAACAACTGTTTATATACGGCCATATAACCTTTCAGAAATCTTTATAACAATTTAATGATACACCAAGCATCATTTTTAGAGGAATAAAGCGAGAGTTCTTTATAAATCGACAGCAGCCATGTATATAAAACTATATAAATGTCACAAGTATCCAATGAAAAGCGACGTTACAAACGTGCAGTATTATAAAAGTTTATATCTATAGATACATAACCGGTCTTTATAACAAATGAGTTGGTACATGTTTCAAATTTATTGAACTTTAGGTCGGATATTATGTTTTTAGGGTGGGAGTAAAAAGTTTTCGTGATATTATCTCTACTGTATAGGATATATATGTCACTTATGTGAAAAAAAGCACAAAAAAAAAGAAACTTCCTTCGTATTTTTTTCATGCTTGACATTTTTGTACCTGTATGTTTTTATGAATGGTAGTTATTTATAAAATCTTTACCTCGGTCCATATTCATAAGTGCTATTTTTTTTTTTAAATCATGATAGGTTTTGATAGCATTAAGTGTCATACATTTCATCATCATTCAACATTCAAATAATGTTAGAGAATCCATGATTTCAATCATTTTTCTGCCCAACACACACCCACTACTGGGTAACACATTTCTAAGATTGGTATAAACTGATTTCTATATTGCAGTTCAGTATTAAGAGTAAGTGCTTAAATTGTTTTATTGCAGGTTTTTTGTTTTATTTTTTTACCTATGCTGATATTAAAAGAAGATCTGCTTTTAATTTCAGCACAAATCCTACTGTATTTTGCTGAACTGAACTATTTTTAATTTGATTTTATCAGAATACGTGTACTTACTTATATGTTAATACGACTGTCTCCTGCGAAGTGCATTGTTGAGTCATTGTTTAGTATTAGACAGGGCATTATGCACACGTTCACTTGCTGTTTGCATTTGTTATTGTTTTGCACTAAGATTTATTCACATTTTCGAAATTATTCTTATATATCTAACCACGTAACACTGTGGCGTAAAGTAGAAAGACCAGAATCACACGTGTAAAGCCAGTGTTGAACCCGTGTAGAACCAGCTTGTATGCTTTTATTCGCAATATTTTACAAGGCTTTACTACTGTTTGCTGCTCAAATTTTGTATTCTGTTGTTGAAATCCCTTACTCTGACAATAGACTGTTCCAAACTCAAAGCAGGGAAAGTCCATTACATAAATTTAGGTGTGAAAAAAAAAAGTTTCTTGCTTTGTTCTTGTGTTTATGTAATCATTTGATGAAAACAAGATATCTTCAAATGAAGAAAACTCTGTCAGGAAGAATATAAGCTCCTCACAACTGATATTATTGAGGTTTAATCCATGATATTACTTTTCTTGGTCGAAATGAATGTTGTTTTTTTATAACTGTTTTCTTAATCATTTCATCCTTTTTGGATGAGAAGAAGTTGATTCTTACTTGTGGAGAAAAAGTATGCTACATAGGAAGCAACTTAGCCTGCTGGTTTATGGTCGTTTATGCTGGTAGAGAGCTACTATTTCCAAACTTAATTTTAAGTTGAATACTTAATGCATATCTTGATCCTTTGACAAAAGAGGCAGCTAAGTTTTTGGGGCTTAATATTTGATAAAATGAGTAAAGGAATAGATGATTTAGGAAAATTGTCAATTTTTTTTTTACATATGTGTTTTGTAAGAGATTTTTATTTTTGGTCTTTAGCATATACATTGTATATGGTGTATAAGGAATGACCTTCAAGTCAAATGGCAACCAAGGGAGATTATGCATGTTCTGTGAAAAGTATAAACATGTGACTAATATTCACAAAAATATGCTTGATAACGAAGGGGTGACAATCTGTTCCAAGTAAATTCTTTTACACATTTGTTTCCCAGAACTTGCCATAAAAATCTGTTTATAACATGACAATGTGTATGTTATATATATGAAAATTGAAGTTTTGTTTCACCAGGGACATATAATATTCCTGGTTTTCACCTTGTTACTGTAGCATTGTCCTTATTTACCTCTCTGGCGTGGGTTCGATCCCCGGGAGATGCTTTAGTAGTTTAGCGCGGAGGAAGGTAGTTTTGTACTGGTGTAACTCTCCAGGAACGATGGTTAGGAAACTACCCGCCTATATGTAATACTATAATAATAATACCATTCCGCCTATATGAAATACTGTTGGAAAAAGGCGTAAAATGAAACAAACAAACAAAAAAATTGATATTATTTTGTTAGCAGTTTGAATTGATGTATTTTACAAAGAACCCTTAGACATGTATTTCAAACGATTAGGAGAAATATGAAGGTGGCATTAAATTTACCCTAACCCTACCTTGAACAAAAGTGGTTGACCTTTGCCAACAGTAGAATGCCTTGCCAACCTGCACTTGTTCGCAGACTGACCAGGCTCTATACTGTTTATAGATCAATTTTTAAATTTTGAAGTTGAAACCCCTTAAGCATTGAATGGACTGGTCCAAATTCAAAGCCAGGCAAATTTGTTGCATAAATTCAAGAGGTCAAAGGTTACTATTTATGTCTATTGATTATTTGTGTGGTTAATTGCAATTTTGTTGTCATGAAAATTGAGCACTATTTCTTTTATTATTGTTTTTATTATTTTGAAATAATTATTTTAACTTTCATTGTTATAGTGTTGTAAATTTTGTTGTTATTATTATTATTATAAATAATGATTTTGGTCACATTAGTGTACTTGAGTTTTATTATTTATTTTCACGTGTTAAGTTTTACCTTCAGAAGATTTGGGGGAAATTGAGTGGAGAGGGAGATAATTATGTGTTTCCTCTTTTTTTTCCTGTTTTCTATTTGGGGAATAGTCAGGAATTTAAGTTACAGATTGTCACCTGCAAGGTGAAGATTTCACTAGCACTGTGCTGGTCTGAAAGTCAAAGTAAGGGCTGTTTCTCCGAAAATATTTGGGAGGGGTACTGGAGTTAAAAATGACTGGTGTATGGTAGAAACATATTCATGTATAAATATATCCTGTCTTCAAATGGCTTAAATAGTTTACATGAATATTTATTTATAGCTGAGTGATATGGACATAATTAGATAGCTACATATGTATTAAGTATTTTCATGTATTTTATAACTATATTATTATACCCCCGCACAACAAAGTTGTAAGGGGGGTATACTGGAATCAGGTTGTCCGTCCGGCTGTCCAGCCATCAGGCTGTCCGTCGTTTTTTTCTTGTCCGCCCAATAACTTAAGATTCCTTTGACCTACAGTCTTCATATTTGGCATGGAGGTTAGTCATGATTAGTAGATGACCCCTATTGATTTTGAGGTCACCAGGTCAAAGGTCAAGGTCACAGGGGCCTTGACCCGTCCAATAACTTAAGATTCCTTTGACCTACAGTCTTCATATTTGGCATGGAGGTTATTCATGATTAGTAGATGACCCCTATTGATTTTGAGGTCACCAGGTCAAAGGTCAAGGTCACAGGGGCCTTGACTTCAAAAAGCTTGTCCGCCCAATAACTTAAGATTCCTTTGACCCACAGTCTTCATATTTGGCATGGAGGTTAGTCATGATTAGTAGATGATCTCTATTGATTTTGAGGTCACCAGGTCAAAGGTCAAGGTCACAGGGGCCTTGACTTCAAAAAGCTTGTCCGTCAAATAACTTAATATTCTTTTGACCCACAGTCTTCATATTTGGCATGGAGGTTAGTCATGATTAGTAGATTACCCCTATTGACTTTGAGGTCACCAAGTCAAAGGTCAGGGTCACAGGGGCCTTGACTTCAAAAAGCTTGTCCGCCCAATAACTTAAGATTCTTTTGACCCACAGTCTTCATATTTGGCATGGAGGTTAGTCATGATAAGTAGATGACCCCTATTGATTTTGAGGTCTCCAGGTCAAAGGTCAAGGTCACAGGGGCCTTGACTTCAAAAAAATGGTCCTCCCAATACATTTAGATTCCTTTGACCCACAGTCTTCATATTTGGCATAGAGATTAGTCATGATTAGTAGATGACCTCTATTGACTTTGAGGTCACCAGGTCAAAGGTCAAGGTCACAGGGGCCTTGACTATAAAAAGCTTGTCCGCCCAATAACTTTAGATTCCTTTGACCCACAGTCTTCATATTTGGAATGGATGTTAGTCATGATTAGAAGATGACCCCTTTTGATTTTAAGGTCACTGGATTAAAGGTCAAGGTCACAGGGACTTTGACTTCAAAAAGTTTGTCCACCCATTAACTTAAGATTCCTTTGACCCACAGTCTTCATATTTGGCATGGATGTTGATCATGACCATAAGGTGACCCCTATTGATTTTGAAGCACTGGGTCAAAGGTTAAGGTCACAGGGACCTTGACAAAAAAAAGCTTTTCTTCTCAATTGCTAAAGAGTGCCTGTCAGCAGTGTATTGATTTTGACATTTTCACATTTGAAACATGTAGAATACATAACTAAGCATTGCACTGGCGTAGTAACCTCAGATTTGGCAGGAAGGTTGTCCTTGAGCTGTAAATGGCCACTGTTGATTCTGACAAAGTGGTATGCGGGGGTATTCACGCCATGATAGTGGCAGTTCTAGTTTGAGGTTGTTTTTATTATGTTTGAAACATTGAAAAGGCTAAAGATCTATTCTAAAGGTCAAAGGTCAAATAATAAAGTAATACAATGTAAAAAAATTGTTAATTCTTGTGATCTATGAACATGCATTCTCTTAGTTTATTATACTCATAACACCCTTATAGGTACCTTATTAACATAATACATTGTATGACCTTTGTTTTCAAGGTCACATTGTTTGACTCTTGTCTTTAATTTGTGGTCATGTGACCTTTGGCGCAATGGTATGATTCTTTTACTTTTTTTAGTGTTATATGTGAGGTTTGACTTGAAGATAATATTGTTTGACCTTTGTTTTTTTTTTTTAATTTTGTATATGACCTTTATATTGAAGGTCATATTGTTTGACTTTTGTCTTCAAGGTCATATGTGACCTTTCTGAAGATCATATTTTTTACCTATGTCTTTGATATCATATGTGACCTGTGTTTGGAGGTCATATTTCTTAGGTTTGTATTGATAGTGATATTCAAAACTGACTAAATACAGTTGAAATGATATTACATTGTATTTGTCAGTAATGTGTTTGAGCATTTCACTGTATATGCCTTGTATGGACAATTATATATCATATGTACTGATTACGATTGTATTTTTCATACATTACTTCCATGTATTATTGAATGTTTACTTGGTACATGTGAAGAAAAAATATATTTGAAGTTTAAAATACATACAACTGTAATTAATTGGGAGATTATTTTGAAGTTTCAAATAAGGACATAAATATTCTGATGAAATTATGATATACTTAATACTGAACCTGCAGCAATTGTGTAATGGACTTGCCCTGTTTTTTGAAATTTGGAACAGCTCAGTCAAAGTTTAAGGGATCTCATTGACAAAATACAACAATTTAGCTGTCAACAGTATAGAGCCTGGTCAGATTGTATAGAGCAGGCTGGCCTGGCTGTACACAATTTTGTGCCAAATGCTGATTACTGTAGGGTCCATCATGGTATTGGTAAACCCATTCCCTTATACAGAAATATTAATTTTGTGCAATGGAAACTAGATATGAAGTGTTTTTCCTTTCTAATTAGTCGGACAATAAAGGTCATGTAATAATAACATGTGTATTATTTCTCAGACTGTTTGGATCATTGGTCATTTATGTAAAAGATCAAACATGCATTTATAAAGCAGCGAATTTCCTTTATGGAAAATAACTTGACTGCTTATAAAGTCTGGCTATGATAATATTTACCGCTTCTAAGTCTTTATAGAAGGGAGTCATTGTTTGACAGGTTACTAATTAAACAATCGGGCATCACATGCTTTTCCCCCAATCTTCATATTAATTATTTGCATTAAATGGTGATGCATTTACTTTCAGTGTCCAAACTTTGGAAATGTCTAAATATTTGACAATTTGGTGGTGTCAAGAAGCATTTCCATGTGGTATAAAGGTAAATTGTCAACCGGTACTTCCACATGGTAATAAATAAGGCATCCAGAGTAGCTTCCATCTTAAACTAAACTAAGGTGTCCAGAGGCACTTCCGTGTTGTGTCTAAAGGCACTTCCATGTTGTGTCTAGAGGCACTTACATGTTGTAATAGATTAAGATGCCCAGAGGCACTTCCATGTTGGTTCCAGAGGCGCTTCCATGTTGTAATAGATAAGGATGCCCAGAGGCGCTTCCATGTCATGTCTATAGGCACTTCCATGTGGTGTCTAGAGACGCCTCCATATTGTAATAGATAAAGATCCCCAGAGGTGCCTCTATGTAGGGAAAGGTTTTAAACCACTACATCATAATTAGGCACATCTTTAAAGCTTCACACCTCCGTAAAAGCAAAACTTTTCTTCTTTGTAAAAATCAAACCTCCAAAAAAAATTATTCATAATTAAAAAAATGTATAATTGTTGTAAGTTTAATTAAAGCTTTTACATTTTATTTATATTTACCTTTATGAATTTGACAGAATTAGTAAATTGTGTTGCCATACAAAAAATTATTATTTTTTACCAGTTTATAATGCGGTAGAGCTTTTTTTTTTAATATTCTGACATATGAAATTTATGTGGTTTTGTAAGTGTCAATGGATACTTTTAATTATCTTATATGTAAACTTGACAATGGGATGATGTTAGAAAGATTTTTCTTTAAAAACTTTCAAGAAGCTGAAGGTGTCCTGCTTTAATCTTTTGTTAACTTTTATTTTTGCGTCAAGTAAACATCAAGTATTAGAAATAATGGTAGAATGTGGCGGCATGGCCGAGTGGTTAACACTTTGGACCAGTTATCTTAAGGATTGCTGTCCACGTAGGTTCAAACCCAGTCAGGGGCAAGGTGTTGCTTCCTTGAGCAAGAAACTTTACTCTCATTGTTCAGTACTGGTTGGTTCTAGGACCGTATTCGAAAATGTGTCTATAAGATTCAAGTTTCCTGCCAAGTCGAATTATAAATAAATTCTGAATAACGCAAGTATTACGAGTTGAAGATTGCGTTATATAACATTTCAATAGATGTTAAAACTTTAGAAGTTTTCTCACTGTTTGGAAATGCCAGGCATCAATTGAGTCTAAACTTGTATAATTTATGTTTCCAGGAATTGTTTTAAATATTATTAAATATGTGTCCTGACATTTTCATAAAATGCCAATGAATTCTGTGTCAAAGCATTATAAAACTATATTGTGATAAAGAGAATATCTTCAAATCAAAGCTTTATTTTTAGGGTGTTTAGAAACTGGACTAAATACATTATGAAGATACATAAACTTGTGTTGTTGTTGAAATTATTATTATATCTTTGTTGTTGTTGTTGTTGTTGTTTGTATTTGAATGATAGGCCCTTAACCCACTGGAACTGAAGTTAGCTTTTTGCCTCCATTGTAGAGCCAAGCTAGCCTGCACTTCTGTGGCTGATTGACTTCAAATTGTCATCTTGATTTACCCAAAATTGATCATGAACTGTTCCAGAATTTGTAGCTGGACATTGCCATTTTAGAAATTCAGCAGGTTAAGGTTTGAGTATGGAATGAAATTTATTATATTCGTCACTATCAGTATCGGTTACATTTTCTTCATTCTTGATCATTAGAAGATTTTAAAAGTCTGTACTTCGCAAGGGAGCGGGCGGGTCTTCTGTAGCCAGATACTGCAAAATCATAATCATTCGTAGGGAACTAATATTCGGGGTTTTCGTATATTGGTCAATCCACGAATTTAAGATCCAAGAAAATTTCATTGCGTCTGCTGTGAGGTTATTTTGTATTACATTATTTATACATTTTATGTTTTTAGGGAAAACAAATAGTCCAAAAATTTAAGAACCCATGAAAATGTTCTTTCTGACATTTCATGCCCAGATAATTAAGTGAATTCACAGTGGTCGATGAAATTAACGTCCACAGCAGATTGTTAAAATGTTTTGTATCTTAACATATCTGTTACTGAATCGGAAATGCTGGTTAATTAAAACAAACCAAGATAATCGTGAAGCTAGAACTAGAAACTAAAAAGTTTTCACTTCAGTAATTACATTTTTTTCCATATTTATAAGAGAGACATAACACAATTAAATTTTGTTCCAGGTGAGACAGGGAGACAATGGGCCTCTTGTTTATGAAATTATCTAGCAAACTGGTATGGCTGTTTTTTTGGTCACGATAATATTCAATATGACAAAGCTATGCATTTGAATGTGAAGGAGTCACTTATCTCCCTTACAGCATAAACAATTATCTCCCTTGTGATATTACCGTGGGTGAAAAATTGTGGGTTCTTTTTATTGAAAGGTAATTATATTTCTGAACAAGTTTGCGGACGGGAACGGCAACGGCAACGCTGCCGCGACTATAGCAACGCTGCCGCGACTATAGCAATATCTCTACTTTTTTTTCAAAAAAAAATAAAGTCGAGCTAAAAACGGATGATCATCTTGGGAACAAAAAAAGGAGTTGCGACAGTCCCAGTCACTCAGGATTATCGCCCTTGCATCATAAAGTGGATTATCTCCCTTGCGACAGGATCAGCGTAAAGGTGGATTTTACATGCATCACTCTTATGAATGAGTGATGAGTTGAAGTTACTTTATACGAGGAAACTTTTCAGCAGAAACTGGGAGGATTGATTTAGTCTAGAATTGATCTCGAGTAAAGCTGAAGATTTTCTGTCAATATTGAAGCTAACTATAACAACTTAACACAAAAAAGAGAGGGAAAAAAGTGGTTGCTATTACATGATACTATTTTATGGTCATTGAATAAAACAAATAATAAAAATTGTAAATACATTTATTATGCTATCATATAATTATTACACCCATATAAACATAACCACATGCATGCATACATTTGTCTTGCAATACATTTATAGGACATTTTCAGATTTTCCTTAAAAAATGAATAAAATTCTTGACAAACTAATTACTGTTAATAAGACATATTATAGTCAGTCAAACTTATGTTTTAAACCTGTTCGAACAAGAGGGAATGAGAGGCCTTGATCGATCGCTCAAATGAAAACTTGCTAGACAAGGGGCCACAAGATCATTTTCAAGGTCAAAGTTCAATACCACATAAACAGAACTATACTGAAGGTCAAAAGAGTTTTATTTTGCTACATGTGGAATATTTCAAATTTCGCCTTTGCACTTTCGGAGAAGAAAATTTATCACAAGTGCGCCTATTTTGGCATCTATTTCTGTATTTATAGGGGCCATAACTCGGTAATGCTTGACAGAATCATCATTTTTAAAGAAAGAAACTAAGACCTACTAGTTCTCTGCAAATTAAGTCAAAATCAATTAAGCAGGCGATATGCCTATCTTGGCTGTTTAAGGGGCTACAACTATGTAATGCTTTATGTGCCAAACCACTCCGGATAGGAAGCCAGATCTACTGGAAAATCAGTTTCTCTGCAAGGCTGATTTAAATTCAAATTAAAAATGGGTCAAAGATAGAAAAGTTCGGGTTGCATTTGTATACCAAATATCATGAGGCTGTGATGTTACTATAAAGTCGATAAACAAGAAGTGGATGAATGACAGATCTGAAACCGAATCCCACGCCATGGGACGTCTTTATGCTGTATACCAAATATCAAAAGGCTGTGATAAGTAGTTGCTGAGAAAACTGTTAAGAAAGTTTCTTACCATTGACCATTAAAGTCGAAAATTTAAGTCAGTAAACACGGAGTGGAGGAGTGACATACCTGAAATCGAAACCCACGGTATGGGACCATGTATTAATGCTGTATACCAAATATCAAGAGGCTGTGAAAGTAGTTGCTGAGAAAACTGTTCCAAAATCTTTTCCACCCGCCAGACGCCCGCATTCATCATACTATAACCCTTGCACCTGTGCAACCCGACCAAAAAGGAAAATGCTTTTTGACCGACCAATTAAACGTCGGCTTCAGACAAACGCATGACGGACTGATGGCAATCTTAAAAGTTTTTTTGCTTAAGTGAGCAAACAATTCAAACTGCTGTATCCTTAATGTGTACAAAAAGATGTGGCTTTATGGATAAAGTACACATTGACAACCTTAAATTTCTTTATAACTTGATGTGAACTTGGGGGCGAATAATGTAATGAAGATAATTCTAAATTCTACATATTATGTGTGATATGTACATATTATATAAATATATGAAATTAACACTGTGGTACACTATAAAACAGTTTTTAAAAACAAAAAAGAGGGCTACATTGACCCTAAATCGCTCAACTGGGTCCATTGTTTAATCATTTCGTGTATGCTAGGCAAGTTATACCTTCCTGATATCCAAAAGGACCATAACTCAGGAACTCACGATTACGAGTATATCAGGTTTTTAGAAAAGGCAAGGGCTCTATAAATCCTACAGGCCGACGTCCAGGACAACTCAATACTGACAATAAGCCAGACAAGTCAAATTTTGACAAATGCTTATCTTGGACAACTCTTTACTAATACGATCCTACACAGCACGGTGCGTCAGTAATCTAAGAACGATGCAATTAATTTCAGCAATCGCTAAACAGATTAATTTCACATTGACACAGCCTGTTTAATTTGTGGACGGTACTAGAAAACGCAAGCTACAGTCCACACCCCATAGCACTGGCTTAAAGCAAGCAGAATTCAACAATTAAGCATGACAATGGTGAAATTTAGAAACAGGCGTTTATCATGGAACATTCAATGTGACACGTAAGTGCCAGTCCTTGAAAAAGAGGTGTATGGTTCCAAAATAAAAGAATAAGGAAACAATGGGCGGAACTAAATAAATGGAAGTTTAAAAGTAGATCAGAAGCTATAAAACTAACATCACATAAACCTGACAAACATGTTTGTTTGGGTTATTTTAAGGACCGTCATAACTCTGTAAATCATGACTTAATTAGGACGATTCAAGGAAGAAATTAATGTCTTTTGGTGTTGTAAATTCTGTACTATTGTGTTCAGTACTGCAATATGTAAAAAACACTATCATATGGACAATAGACTCTCACAAATACTCACCATGACCTCTTTGTGGTCAGGTTAGCTAAATACATGTATATATATGGCAAACATTCCATTATGTTAACCCATTTTGAATCTATTTATAAAACATATAAGTTTTATACTTTTCCATGAATTACATTCATTTTAATAATTTAATAATGTTGATATTTTTTAAAACATATCATTTTCACTGGTAAAATGTTTCAAAATTAAAAGTAATATCTAAATTTTATAAAACGCAAAGAACGGAAAGCACAATTAAAAATGTATGCTTAATTATGTTTATGTTTGTTTATCTCATTTTTTCCTCAAACCAGATGTTCTGTATTGATAAATAGATATACATGTACTTAAGTGTCTCTAAATTATCTATATAAGTTTTAATCCACAATAATAACATGTTTTTGTTGTTTTAAATGTTATTTCGGTCAGCCTTTTTCTTCAAATTTAACCTGGAACCAAAAAATATTTACTTTATTTTTTGTCCCAGATTTAACCGACAATCATCCGTACATCCATATTTCAGACAGACACACGTTCTTGACGTATATTTCTTTGCTTGGTACAAACAGTGTGTCCACTAGCCATGTCCAACCCATTCTAATCAATTATACACCTAAATCTATTATGCTTCATATAAATATTCTAAACTACGAAAAGTTTATAAAGATTGTACAAGCTCGCCTATATCAATTATATTTTCCATTTATCACTCTATATTTAAAGAAGTTTTATTTTAATTCCCGAAAATATTGAACATCGCTTCCCATTGTATAAAAACCAGCATCTAACAATCATATGCAAATCCATGTTTAGATCCTTTTTACAATTTGGTATCTGCTGCATTTTCAATCCATGGAAACAGTGTTCTAGGAGAGGAATTATCTATCTCATCAACAGGCACTACACCATCACCATTTTCGTATGCAGGAAAACTGTCGGTAGTTTGGCCGTCAGTTATATAGGATACTTCAGGTTCATGTTGACACGCTCCGCCATTGGGTTTACCATTGGTCATACCATCGGGCTGAATCTCGTCGTAACTGTCATCAAATGGAGGTCCTGCTGATCTCCCAGGTGTTGGTCCGACTGCCAAAGTGCTTGCTTGCGATAATGATGTTTCTTCAAATTTCTGAAGTTTTAGCAATTAGGAGATGTATGTAACTTCTTTTAAACATGCCATCAGAAACCATCTATTTTCAGAATTCTTGATTAATATAGAATATTTATCGAGTGTTACTTAATTGATTCATTTTAATTATAACATTTGATCAAACCGACCACCTTAATATTTAAGCGATATTATTTTATTAAATATACATATACGTATGTTCAATAAAGCTTGTGCCGTGCTGCATTAACCAGCATAGTAAATCTAGCATATTTAACTTTCTTTATTTTATATTTTTTTGCATAAAAAAACTCATTACTTCAGAATTAAAAACAATACCAAAAACAAACCTTTTCATCGCGTAAAATATCAAAGTCAGGGATTGGACTTTCCACGCCAAATTTCTCCCGCCCAAATGGAAGTGGTTTCTTTTCCTGAAATAAATATTCTTCATGATTAAAATCAAAAGTTTATTTGCAAAATCCGTTTAAAGAACACAACGCGCTCAACTCTTTTGATATTGATTTGCAACGAGATGCATACATGACGTTATTGCTGACAAAGCATAACTGTTTTAAGTTTTTTTATTAAAATACCCTGTGTATTAGAGAAGACGCGGAGGCGTAAGTCTGTAGGACAACTTTCCACAATCTTCCCATAAAAAAGCAACTCTTATCATCTTCATTCATTATTCTTTACTTACAAAATCACCATAAGCATCTTGGTATGCCATCGACGGGTTCCATGTCCGAAATCGCCGCTGATACATATAGCCAATAATACCAAACATACAAGTTCCAGCAATGACAACCCCAGCAACGATAAGGAAAACGAACAAGCCAAAGTTCTCATAGTATAAACCTGTCTTTTCATCCTGCACATGTGTAGTTTGATCCATCGCCTTGTTGCCTCCTGCAGACGTAGACCCAGATCCTGTCACTACTGAGATTTTCGGGGACATACTTGTAATGCCTGAAAGTGTTGATTCAACTGTTGCAGATGTACCTGTTTTTACATTGGCTGAGGAGGTGGTATGGAAACTTGACGAACTTTGCTGACCATCTAGAAATTAATATTTTTCAACAATTATAAGATGATGATATTTGTAGTTTAAAAATAAAAATTAGAAATGAAGACATCTGGTGAGCGAATATAACAAAAAGTTATGTAAATAAAATGTATTAAAATAGCAATCGACCGATTAGGAGGCAAGTGTTTGTTACAATTATGAAACGGTATTTTTTAAAAGTGTGCAAAATCTATCTACTAAATCTACTTTTAAAATGCCGCTAATGAAAGACGTCGTCGTTTGTGTCCTAATTCAACGTACCTGAACGTTGGTAAGTTAAGGTTGTTTGTTCTGGGGTTGTTACTTCAACGTCACCGCTTGATGAAACTGGAGCTGAATCAGTGATCCCAGAAGGACTCTGGACTGGTTCTTGGATTGTAGTACCATTCGAAACACCAGGACCAGAAGACATAATTGTGACCGATGAACTGACAGTGGTTACAACAGTGTTAATATCTGTGGATGTATGTCTTTCCGTTTGTGAGGAGGACTGCATGCTTGTATTTGGAGAAAGGCCTGTTGTTGATTCTATGGTCGACTCTACTGAACTACTGCTACTGCCCTGTGATGATGGTTCATGTTCTTTCTCTGATGTAGTTAAACTTTCAGATGTTACAGAAGTTTGTGTCGAGGTCACTGTTTGATTTAAAGTTGGAGATACTGTTCTCACAGATCCGTCCGTTGACAGTTCATCCTGTGATGTGTGGTTCTGTACAGATGATACTGTTGTCACAAGATTAGATTCTGTTACTTCTTGATCGGTTGGTGCTTCTGTGGTACTTTGGTTATTTGTTATTGCCGAATCTGTAACAGATGGCTCTGGTACAATTCTAGTTTGATTTACGGACTCACTTGAATTTATCATTCCAGATGTAGTGTTAGACCTGGCTGTAATACTTTCTGTTGTATCTGAAATATTGTTACTGGCACTGACAGTACTTAGGTCTTGTGAAGTATCAGCAGTTGACAAAAATGAAGTTTCTGTAGTTGTTGGATCACTATTTGTTGTTGGATCACTATAAGCTGTTACGTTATCCATTCGATGACTCCCATTTTCAGTTGTGACAGTAACATGACGGGTTGATTGTGCAAATGTTTGAGACGTACTGTTTTCAATTTCTTCTGTAACATTCTGAGAGTTGTCCGTAGAGGAAAATGTTGCGTTAGTGATAGAGGTTGTTGTAGTCGTTGCTGAAATATAAAGAAATGGATCGTTTCGAGAAATATTTTTAGTAAGAGCAATCCCGTTGAGTTATATGCAAAGCATCCTTTGAAAAAAACATTGAGATAAGATATTTTTTAATTTTTGATTATCTAATTATGTTAGCGCGTGTTGTATATTTTTAATATATTTCGGAAATGATTTTACGATTATGTCCCGATAACTTCTCTCTTCTTTTTCTGAAAACTTGTACAGTGAACCTTAAAAATGGAATATAACATCAGAATTAGTCACGAAAAGTTACTAACAAAGACACCCTTCTTCGTCTTCACCAGATACATGGCTAGAACAAGTCACAGCGCCATCACATCGTGTAAAACAGTGTATACCATCAGAGCATAGTCGCTGACTTTCGGCGCACGAAGCTGATTCTGTTCAGGTAAAAACTTTATAAATGTTCATAAGAGACTTTAGTGAACATTTGATGACATCAACGTGATATGTTTTATAATAACTTATATTATGATGCAATTGAAATTTAATCTTTCTTTTCAAAGCAACTGCATCCAGTTTTTTTTTCCAAATGCTCGCCTGTTCATATTCAAATGCACGTCTATGTAATTAATATAAAACTGAAAATTAATATGCCTGTAAGCATTAATATGCTTTTTTCAGAATAGTGGCCAAAACTTAATTCATATGCATCACTTTATCCCTTGCCATTATGATGCAATATTGAAATTTAATCTTTCTTTTTAAGGCAACTGCACCCAGTTCTTTTCCAAATGCTCGCCTGTTCTTATTCAAATGCACGTCTATGTAATTAATATAAAACTGAAAATTAATATGCCTGTAAGCATTAATATGCTTTTTTCAGAATAGTGGCCAAAACTTAATTCATATGCATCACTTTATCCCTCGCCATTATAGATATTCCAATTTAGAATGGACTTGTCCATCTTTCAATCTTGCCAAAATCATTCATTAATTTTACGAAAAGTTTAAAATATGTACCGACTGAAAAGCAAACAGTGCACACCCGGAACAAACATGCTCGAATGTGTCGACTGATCTTGGTCTGCGCATCTGGTATAAGTTTTGTTTCCAGATGAAACTATTTGGCTAAAAGATAGTGACACTTAACTGACACTTACGACATAGGTGTTGACTTTCATCAGATCCGTCATTACAATCTGGAACATTATCACAGATGACACCACACCCACTACGGTCTGCACAGACTCTGTAAGACGTGTTGTCAGTCGGCGATAGGTAGCATGTCGTGTTCCCGTCCTTACACAGTGTTTTAGTCCAGTTTTCACACGGTAAACCTGGGACTGAAAGTTAGAAAAATAAGCAGTAAAATGAACAGTGACAAACTTGAATGTATGGCATGTTTGTAATTATTTCTTCAAATAATTTAAAAAAAAAGAAAACTTGTAAAATAAAGATCTTTTTGGAGTAAAGGACACATAAACTTTGAAAAGAGGAATATTTATCAGATTTCTAATTCAGGTTTAATATTAATTTGAATAGTTAATGGATGTAAAAAGGACTAAAATTAGAGACTTCATTATACTTTGCCAAACTTATTACCCAATACTAACAACCATTAACTAAATATTACTTTAATTAATACACTCAACACAGTTTCTTATTGCCCACTTTATACAGTTCTTCTAAAAGAAAACTAGGTAATAACACGATTTCAATTCGAAACCTCAGTGTAATAAAGAGTACTCGCTTACAAAGTAAAAACTTTTTCATCGTCACGGCTGGGCTCTATTTTACGATTTGCAAAACTTGGCACCATAATCGCATGTGATCTAAATTTCACTTCAAATGCAATACAAAATGAGCGTGTTGAACCCGGAAAAAAAGATGGGTACACAAAGAAAAATGTGGAGATTGACCAATGAATAAAAGTTCAGATTCATCGACATGATTTGTTCTTGTAGGCTAATATAATGGTTTTGATTTTGTTCATTTATTTATCCGTAAACAGATAAAGTGGGAAACATAATTATATTATTCAAATAAGACGCAAGATGCTAAGCTTGTTTGAAATATTTCAAAATGACTACATAAAGTGTGATTAAAACAGTTGTTTGAGCGCCGGAATGTGTGTCAGAAACAAAGTGGGCGTTCAGAAATGAGCCGCGTCATGACAAAACCAACATAATGGGTTTGCGACCAGCATGGATCCAGACCAGCCTGCGCATCCGCGCAGTCTGATCAGGATCCATGCTGTTCGCTATCAGTTTCTCTACTTGTTATAGGGTTTGTCAGCGAACAGCATGGATCCTGATCAGACTGCGCGGATGTGCAGGCTGGTCTGGATCCATATGCTGGTCGCAAACGCACTATGTTGGTTTTGTCGTGACGCGGCTCAAAAGTGTTGAGTGTACGTGATACTTCTATTGCATTGACGTCACCTGCTGTAGATGTTCCGATGTTACTTGTCGTCTGGTTGGTGGGTGTGTCATTTGTACTTGTGTTCTCTATTGTTGAAGAAGATGTTGTCATGGAAACAGAATTATTGGGAACGTTTTCAGTAGTGGTAACACCGACATCAGAGACGCTGCTTTCAGTTGATGTGTTAAGTCGTCTGCTGGCATTTGTTAAAGGTGGTGGTAAGTCTGTGGTGGTAACATTCATGTTAACAGCTGTGGTATCATTCATGTTAACAGCTTTATCTGTGTTACCAGGCGAAAGACCTGCAAGTGTTGTGGAAGAACCGTCGTCAATGGTACCATTTTCTGTTACACTAACATTTACAGGCGCAGTAACTGTGGTAACAGATATATTTTCGTCATTTGCCGTGGTAATTCCTGCAATCGTTACCGTTAATCTTGTAGTATCATTTTCGGGAATGTTCGTAACAGATTCGCTTGTAACTTCTGATGTGTTAGTGCTAGTGGCGGAAATGGGTACTTCAGTTGTTGAAGAGTTCCTATCATTTTGGGATGCGGTTGTTGTGTATGTGATGGGTATAGATGTTGAACTGCCACGGAACCTGCTGTCATCACCTCGTTTTATCGTCAAGTTTTGGGAAGGGCTGTCATTTACCTCTGAAAATTCATAATTTTTTTATGTAAAAGTCATATCTAGCAAATACAAGGATTGTTTTGGTCGGGTTTTACGTTGCACCAACTCTGTTAAGCACAAATTGTGACTTTCCAGTTTAACTGCCAGGTGGCCTTCCGTGTATTATTTCAGACACGAACGGGCACCTGGATAGCTCAACTGACGTTCCATAAGCTAAATGGATAGCTTTCTAAAATGAAAGAATCCAATGGCCCTGGAAGAATTCGGTGAGGGGAAAGCAGTTTGAAACCACTCGGCCACGGACACACACAAAAAAAACCTTCACTAGAATTATTATTTGGCATTAGTTTCTAAACTCGATTAATATTGACCATGGATAATTTTAAAAGCCGAGCATTCGACCAAAAGTGTAGTTATAGAGGATATTGAACAAAAGTGAAGTTTCGATGACAGAGTTGAGTAAATGTATAGAGCTCGCACGCTTATCACTGATAGCGTGTGTGATATAGACATAGCTTTGTATAACTTTTTGCTGGCGTAGATCTATGTATCAATTTTTATGATTTTGTGAAAATGAAAATTTTCTTAAATATTAAGTGTTGCGTTTTGTACACTATTGCATATTATTTTTCGCGATTCAAATATCATAATTCATTAAAATAGTTAAAAGTTACTATGATAATCAAGTAGATTAAACTCAAATTTCTTAGAAAATTCTTGAGGGTGAAAAAATAGAAATGGAAATACATGTATTGAAAGGTGCCTCTATAACTTTGGCAATTCTTTTGGGCAAGTATATTTTCAAAGGGTCATACCTTGGACACAATACGCGACATTACATCTATCAGTAGGTTTCAAATAGTACACGTAAATATCAGCAGCACATGTCTTTATTTTGATTGGTTGACGCAGTACGCAACAGTCCCATTTTCCCAGGACGTCATAAGAAGTACACACGTGCGCGTCTACCGTTTCGTTGACGCCAGGCATCGCTTTTCCCGCTAAATCAATTCTCATAGGAAGCTGGGTGCCACAAACATTGTTCTGGAATAGAAGAATGGTATCGATTTAATTTTATTTCATTGACTATTTTGTTAGTGATAAAAAAGAGTGTTGGAGCACCGGACAAGATGCTTGACTGATTAAATCACAGGTGCTAGTGGCATTGATTTGACCTAAAATGTGTTTGACCTTGTTATTTATACAATAAAATATCAATAAATTAAAAAAAAAAAAAATCACTGTCTATAATAATATAACAGTGAATTTTTTTTTTTTTTTTTTTTAATAACAAGGTCAAACACATTTTAGGTCAAATCAATGCCACTAGCACCTGTGGATTAAATGCGAAAATCTCGCCTTTTCGCCCGCTGAAATGACCGCCAAACGTGCATTCATTCTGATGACATGTATATATCTGAATGTTATTTATCAATGTATGTATGTTGATTGCATTCTTAAACATACAGATTAGAATTGCCCTTTATTCTTATACATATGTATACAAGAATGCAAAATTTCAAATGTATGTATGCATGCCAATGTAAGGAAAAGTAATGAAGATTATTGTATCATTGGTTTTTATTTAAATCTTGTGCAAAATGACAAACTTTGTAGTGTAGAAGTAAATATTCAATACATTCTTTATAATAGTGTCAAATTATAAGTCGTTTATGTTTTTACGACATATGCAAAGTGAAAATTGATTATTAAAATCGTTTTTTTGCAATATTTTTGAAGTGCTTTAGGTTGTAACATTCATATGACATAATCTAATAGTAACAGGTTTCATTTCTTTTATAAACATCGCTGAATTATCACACTGCTTACCAAATTTTTTTTTAATATCCTAACATCAAATACTGATGAAGAAAACATAGAAATCAACATGAAAAAAAGTTAAATTGATAATTTCAAAACATTAGACAAACACTAAACAATATCTACAGATAAGGTCATTTGAAAATATCAAAGCCTTCATTTACTAAACAACTTGTAATTCAAGTAGTTCTGGACCACTCAAAACATACATTTCCCTACACACAGGTGCTGATTTTTTAAAACCTATATCAACTGATTCTTATGCCAGTGAAAATATTAGGAATGTATTTATTTGTTTTTATTGATGAATGACGAATGCCCCCGAAAAGGTTTCTTAAGCATGCAGGTATCAAAAGAAAAGAGAATGAAAGTAACTAATTGCTTAATATTGTTCTTGTGAAATGAAGTGCTATTTATGGCAAACTTAACACATTGGGTCTTGGATGCGACACATCATCTTGATGTGGTAGACATTCATGCCATGTTAGGTAGACATTTATGCAATGTTATTATAAAATCCTTCAATGCATGGCAATGTTACAGTTTGGAACTAATGTGTACCTTCATACACTTTTTATGAGCATAAGTACCTTCAAACCATAAGAGTGACCCTGACCCATAGGTCTTACACACAACACGTTATCTTGATGTGGTAGAAATTTGTGCAAATATATTTTAAAACTCTTCAATGCATGACGAAGTTATAGTCCGGACACGAATGTGAAAACCTATAATCTTTAACTGTGATAGCGTGAAGCTTCAAAATATAAGTGAGACTTTGACCTTTGAAGAAGGAACGTGTTTCTTTGACGCGACAGAATGTTGTCATGAGATAGAAATTTATTTCAAAATCCCTCAATGCATGACAAAGTTACAGCCTGAACATGATTGTTGTGTTAGTGGGGACACACGGACGGACAGACGAACATAAGCCACGACACATCGTCTTGATGTGGTAGGTATTTGTGCCAAGTTATTTTAAAATCCTTCCATGCATGATAAAGTTACAATCCGGACATGAATGTGTATCTTCAGACTCTTCTAGAAAGATTGAGTACTTTCAATCTAATTAAAGTGTGACCTTGACCTTGAAGGTAGGGACATGGGTCTAGGACCGAAATGTCGTCTTGATGTGGTAGACATTTATGCCTAGTTATTTTAAAATCCTTTGATGCATGACAAAGTTACAGTCCGGTCATGAATGTGTGCACCTATAAACTCTAATTGTGATAAAGTGAAATTCGAAATGGTAGTGTGACCTTGACCTTTGAGGTAGATACGTGATTATTAAACAACACGCATAGTCTTGGTTTGGTAGACATTTATGCCAAAGTATTCTAAAATCCTTTGATGCATGACAAAGTTACACCCAGGACACGATTGGGTGTACCTATTAATTCTAAATGTGATAATGTGAAACTTCAAAATGTTAGTGTGACCTTGACCTTTGACATAGTGACCTGGTTTATATGACAGAGCTTCTGATAGTGGTGAACATTTCTATGAAGTTTCATTCAAATTCCTCCGTGCATGTAGGAGATATGCTCCGGACAAAACTGAACGCCGCCCACCAGACCGCCCGTATGTAATGACCGGTATATTTATTTAAGACTGAAATATATTTTGAGCTTAATATTATGCAGGTTAACAGAAAATGCGGAAATCACAATACCTATCAAGGCTTTATGCCTAAACGGAAAAAATCAAAGGTTTTGATAGGCACAATTTAGCTTAAAGTTAATGTATTATTATTTTAAGAAAATAAAAATACCTTTCAATACGATCACGGCTTATTATATTTTTACTCAGGCATATCGGTAAAATTTATCGTGTTAAATTAATTCATCAGAAAGTCTATAAGATACACTTTTGTAAGTAATTTTCAGTTTAAAGCTATTTGAATAATATGTCCCGTTTAGTCTTGAATTTTATACTGAGTCCGTTCTCATGATTTTCTTTTGTATGTGGTTTTTCGTTTACAAGTATTGTTGTGTGTTTTCCGTTTGTTTTTCTGTTATCGGTACTCGTTTTCTTTTCTATTTCTGAATTTATGTGCCTTGTTGCCCTAAGTTCTTTATTGTCTGTTAAGTTTTCTCTTATTTGTATCGTTAATGTTCTTGTGTGGTTTTCTGTCTGCCCCGTTTCGTGTCTTGTCCCCTGTTCCAGTGTTCGTTTATTGTCTGTTCTGTTTTGTTCCTTGTTCCCTTGTATTTTCTTGTTTGTAATTGTTCCGGAGTCTGTCGTCTGTGTTGTTGTATTTGTTAATTCGTTATTTGTTATATTCGTTAGTTCCTATTTTATCAGTCCTCGTTTCCAGTTTAGTTTAAGTTTTCTCTTGTCTGTATCGTTGTCTATTGTTCCATCAAGTGTTTTGGTCCTCATTTCCTGTTCCTTTTATATGTATCGTTGTTATCCCTGTCTGTTGTCCCATCAAGTGTTTTGGTATGTTCTGTTGTGTCCTACTCAGTCCTTCTGTTATCGATTCACATGTCCTGTTCCTTTTATATGTAACTATGTTGACCCAGTTTCATGCTTTGTGTGTTCCGTTGTCCACTGTTCCACTCAGTGCGTCTGTTGTCGCTCCTCAATTTCCCGTTCCAGTCTTCTCTTGTAAGCATTGTTGTTCCCTGTGTCTTGTTCCAGTAAGTCTCTTTTATCTGTTCCGTTGTCGTCTGTTCCTCTCAGTGTGTCTTGTAGAATGCTCCATTCCGTCTTTGTAGTTATCTCCCGGGTGACGTCCGTTTTGCTGTCTGTTCCTTTATGTCCTCTGTTCCTCTCTCCGTTTAGTTCTGTGGAGTAGCGGGGGATCGAACTCACGACCCCTTGATTGGTAGGCAGACAGTGTTACCACTGCACCATAGCGCCCGCTCTGAATAATAGCTGTTTTTGAAATTCCTATATACATTATATTACTTTAATCGCTAACATAAAAGGTATTGCAATTAAATTTTAACACCTCAACTTTTGTAGCCAACCCACGTGACATTTCATATATCGTCAAAGAGAATATTACTCCGTTTAATATTGTATCAATAACTTTGCTGTTGCCTTTAGATACCCTAGAAATTAAGTGAAGGAATTCTTAGGTATATTAGATGGTGTGATAATCTTCTTGTAGAATTTTTCTTAAACCGAGATTGAATTCCGATAAGCATTTTGGTAGCTTTGTGTGTATAAGTGACTCTCCGAATGGAGGTAAAAAAGATAAAAAAAATCAAGCTTTGACAGTTAGCGCCAAACAAGTAAGAAATTTCCGATAAATTTTGTGAAAAATCTAAACGTATGACAGACACTTTATTGGTCTTTTTTGAAAATGCCATTGATTGCACTGTGTGTTAGTGATATTTTTAATGGAATCGGATTCAGGAGCATGCTGTACCTTCATGAAGATTGTCCATATTGGTATATTTAATGTGTTTTTTTACTGGGTGGGGGTAAACATAAATTGCTGTCAGTCATTATTTTAAGGAGCAATGCATGGAAACTATTTTTTTTTTTCAATGTTTGTCATATATCCTTGAATAATGCTGTGCAACTTGGTGTCTGCCTGTGAAACAGATTATGAAATATTTGGAACTGTGTTTCCACTCTGAAATACAAAATTGTTCATTTTTAGGTCCCCTGCCCCCTTAACTTTCAATTCCGAACTAAGTACTGTCACGCATGCGCACACGTATTATAGGCTTTCGTTGCGCGAGCCAGACTTCATTCTTTGATAATAAATATTTTCTGAGAGCGCGTCTCTGTATTTTTGCAGCCACCCTAAAGCCCAGAACCTATGAGCAGCACTTTTCATTTATAGATAAAGTAGACTTCGACATAAATTTCAACAAATCTAGGATAATTTAAAGAGAAATGGCCTACAATGGAAGGTATGTAAAGCAATAAATATTTATGTTGATTGTTCAGTATCAGTCATAAAATCAAACCACGAAACAATAATATATGTATGCTATTACCAAATGTGAGATACATGATCAAACATTACATATATCTATATAAAGCAGATAATAAAATGTTCTAGAACAAAATATTTTTATTCATCATATCAATGTTCATCCTGAAACACTTTATCATCATTTTTTTATTTCAAGAATTTTTTTTATAAGAATATCGTAATGATACATTTTTATTGTTTTTATCAATATTTGAAATATTTATTGAAAATGTACCCATTGTAGACCAATCCACTTTAAGACCTGTTTTTATGAGCGGTATGATTGGTTGAAATTTGAATTGAGTGGTAGGTATACCTTTAAGCACAAGTGCGGGATCTCAGCGGGTCTGCCGTTAACCTCGAATTTGTACCAGCCTTCGATTAAGTTATCGTCACACACATGGTTATTCTGGTGTATCGAATGAAGCCTGTCACTTGACTCTAACGCTGTGTGATTACCTGCACCACATGGATCTGGAAAGACATACATACGAAAAATATAACTCTCATTACAAACTTATATTTAATACTTCATTATTGCGGGATTATTATTATTATTATTATTATTATTATTATTATTATTATATTATATCATTAAGAAACTTAATTGTTTGCAGCATTTTTGCAACCAGTCAGACAGATAAAGATATTTAAAATCCACGTGGACCAATGATTGGTGCCGAATACAAAATTACTAAGTTTTATGCTTTTTATTATTCATCAAAAGGAAAAGTAAGATAATATCAAATAATAGGCTTACCTACTCCGTTATTGCTTCCATTGCATTCAACATCACCAAAGAGAATCGAACATGCGACTGAAAAATAAACATAACATATTTACACTTATTAATTAAGCATAATAGAGCTTGTTAAACATTTTAAGACAAATGAATTGTTCAAAGGACCTCAACCGATGTCCAAAGGTCAAAAACATAAGATTTTAATTTCTTCTATAGATCATTTGGGATACTTTTAACAGAAAGATTTAAAAGATACTAGTAATGATAAAATGGACTCGCATTTTTGTGCCATTACTAGCCCGATTTGAGCTAAATTTGTTGAGACGCCTGAACATTTTTGATATTGCTAAGATTTAAAAATGTGACTATCAGGGTATTTAGCTATAATGAGCTTCTGTTAAGTTATGAAATTAAATGAATATCACAAAAACAAAACAAAAAACCCCCACATAGGATATGGTAGAAAATTATCGGTAATAGCTTTAATTTACTGGTATCTTATTAAGAGACATTTTTATCTGGTTTATTGATGGACTATTATAGGATAGAGACAAGTTAACATAAGATATGGCTATGAAAAATATAGAAAGAATAACAACATTATACCCTTTAAAATCTTACGACAACAATTCTTTTGCAAATAGATTTAAAAAAAAAACAAAAACAAAAAAACACACACAAACAATTGATTATCTTATTCACGATCCGAAGCTATTGTTTTGGGAGTTGTTTAATGAGTCACTCAAGAAATTGAATGAACTGTTTCTGACATGATTACATAATATTATACAGAACTCCTCCACAAATAAGTCAATGTTGATTCATCAACAATGGATATTTCAGGCTGTACTTCCCTATTTGTTCTCGATTTAATCACTTATGAAACAAGAACATTTTAAGTCGTTAAAAGTTTATATCATTTTATAAAACAATATTTGAAATGAGCACTATAAGACCCTGCAAAATAACATGGTTACTTTGTAAAGTGTTTTAATTGGGTTTAAAATGCAAATTCTGTGGAGTTTCCTCCCGGGCCCCTGAATAGGGCTTTGCCCTGGACACATTGAGACCCTTACGGTCCCATACCCACTTCTGCATAAATAACTATTTACTCATTTTTGCCCATCCCGAAATCACTTAGTGCATCCCGAAATCACATTCACAACATATAATTTTAGTAAATTTAAGATAATGTGGCTGTCTTTGATGGAGACCTACAAACTACTTCAGAGTACATGCTCTTGTGTGAAAGAATTAAAAGACAGTCCTATAGTAAAATCACTGAAAAGTAACGCCAAGGCACACTTAACAACAGCCTATATCACTATGATCAAATATTTGCAGTATAATAAGGACTAATTTAAATCTTTTTGGTTAGAAAATATCCTTTCTCTCCCTACTTTTTTAAGCTACAAATCACTACTTTTCCCTTCTTTTTATCGATTGGTGGTAAAAATATCACCAGCATATTTCACGTATTGTATATTATAATTTACATTGACGGCCCTAAATGTTTCGTTCAATCCATTTTATCATCTCCAGTACAATATTATGAGGTTATTATACATTGTTGAGTACAATACTGAATTTCATTGGACGTGTACACAAATAGCCGAGGCTGTGTACGAGTCCAATAAAATTAATATTATTCTCAACAATTGATAATGCCATCTTTATTTCACACCAACAATTTGTAGAGCAAAATCAGCAGTGTGTGTTTTGTACCACATGAAAAGTAAAGAAACTTAGAGTACAATATGGAGATGACATGGATTATTTTTATTCTGGAAATGAAAACGAGGCTAGATGAAATACAATATGAATTTGATATGAACTTGTTGGTCTCCGAAATGGAACAGGCTAGATAAAGTTAATACAGATTTTATATGGATTTTAGAACTCTGAAAATGAAAACGAGGCTAAAGTGATAAGATTGGGTCCAATAGTGATTTATTTATATTTTGTGATCATTGGTTACATTTTATGAACTGCGAAATATAATAAAGTACCAAAAAACAATACACACAATTTGATATTACAGTATTTTCAAACTTGTCAAATAAAAGCCAAAAATATGAATATTAAACAAAACTATAAAAAAAAGAATAATTAATTATAAACATAACTTTAATAATCGTCATGTCCGGTAGGTGTAGACAAATCTATTGTATAATTTTTACTACAATAAATACATGACAAATTATTATTTAGATTAATGTTTAAGCAGTGACCTTGTCAACATATCTAAAGCATTTCGTTTATTTCTATTTGGCTACAAGTTAGAGGTATTTTATACAAACAAACAGTTTTGACATTTCATATGTATATTTTGCTAGATCTGTGTGTAAAACAAAAGATCCGTATTTAAAAAAATACAAATAGCGACCCCGAAATATTTTTTGTTTGAGTCACTTAGAGTTTCACTTCATTTCACAACAAAGAGTTTGTGATTATAAATCACCTTTACATTATTAAACATTATAAGTCCATGCCTGTTGAGTTCCGAGATCACTCAATGATCACCAGAAAAATCGGAGAATGCCAGGCCGACTTTCGGGCATTTTTTTTTTTCGGAAAGTGGAACAAAAAAGTGGAATCGCTTTTATTTTCGCTTGATCTCTATTGAGGCCTAGTTATAGTTACATCATGATCCAAAGACATAGGTCACTATGTATGGAGAATACTTTCATAAAAAAAAAATGACGCTGATCTTTGCATTTATTTTGCGACGTCATGAACGTCATTTATTGTATTGTTTACGTGCGCCAGGTCGGGACCCTTTGTCATCTTTGAAATATTCACAGAATTGTTATTTGTAAACATATTGTGTTGATTTTTTGACTGTATATAGAAAAAAAATGTGAAGAGAATAGGCTCGCAGTCCTATAACTTTCTGAACAACCCTCGTGTGTGCAGTTATCCGTGCTTAGGTTTCCCCCCAAAAAGCCCTCTAAAAATTGAAAAAAGGCCTGGGGGTTTTAAAGTAAGCCACCCAAACATCAACCCCTATCGCGAGGCATTTTTCCGAAAAATCCACAGTATCAAAAAGACGTCTAAAATATCAAACGTTACGGTCTTGTTCTAGTTTATGTCGGTCAAGCCCTTTGCGCACAAGCAAAACTATCTCAAAGCGACGTCATATTTATAGGACTAAAATACCATATCAAAATCACCCCAAACATTTTTTCCTTGGCCTAAGTGACTTGATACGGATTGTTTGATAAATTTGTGGAAAACTAGAGTCACTATCAGTGCTGTTTAATGTCTCTAGATAACCCTATTGTCGTTTATGTCTAAACAATTATTTCTATGATATTTATGCTCCACTTTGTACTACACACAACGAGCGACGACGGAACACCTAGCCGATTATCCTTAATCCGAAGTTTGACGGAAAGGACCGAGAAGTTGCGATTGCCTAACGCCAATATTCACGATAACACTCGGATATTGTTCACTTCTAATTAATAAGGCTTTGATAAGCATATACGGATAACATTTGTTAATCATAAAACGTACACACAACAAAATTATGTTAAAGCCATACCGCCATTTTGATACATTCATGTACATAAATTTATGTTGCGAGGAGAGACATTTTCATGAATTAGGAAAAAACAGAAAATTATTTTTAAAAATTAGAAATAAAAACATTACAAAGAAAACGAGTGAAACAAAACACTAAAAACATAATGTTAAGCACTAAAATATCATAAATTAGAAATAAAAATCTTCTTGGCCATCCCAAATAAATTCACATTTACTGTAAAAATTAACTGTCAGGCTGTTGCAGCAGCCATTTTGATTGAGATCGGATAAACCAGTAGGTGACGGTGATAAGTTTATAAGGCAGGTTTCTGTTTATTGATGTCAATATAAGCGGAATATCTGTCACATTGTATCATAGTTTGGAGACCTTTCTGTTGAAAATATGTAAGGGTTAAATCGTATACATATACATGCACCGTGCGTTAACTGGAGTGCGGGTATTAGTTACCCGCACTCCAGAGCATGCCCATTGATTGGCTCATTTTTGCTGGGGTTTACATATTGTGACGGCAGTGAAAGTGAAATCGACAGAAATGTCATATTTAGATGCTCGTTCATTGGTTCATTTTTGCCGGGGTCTAATATTGTAACAACAGGGAACGTGTTTTTATGTTTGACTATGATACAAAAGAGAAAGAACACCAAAACACTCGGTAATCTGATTAATACTCGGGGGGCTACGCCCCCTCGTACAAATCAGATAACCTCGTGTTTCGGTGCTCTTTCTATTACTTGTTTTATTGTTGTCAATATTAGAGAAATATGTCTTTTTATGCAAGTTTTCCTAATGTCGTCAATATAAGAGGACTATCTGTCACATTATGCAGGTTTTTTCTTATGTCTTTGTCAATATAAGTGGACCAGCTATCTGTCACATTATGCAGGATTTTGTTATGTCTTTGTCAATTTAAGAGGACTATCTGTCACATTATGCAGGTTTTTTCTTATGTCTTTATCAATATAAGTGGACCAGCTATCTGTCACATTAGGCAGGTTTTTTTAAGTCGTTGTCAATATTAGTGAAATATCTGTCACATTAGGCAGGGTTTTCTTATGTCGTTGTCAATATTAGAGAAATATCTGTCACATTAGGCAGGGTTTTCTTATGACGTTGTCAATATTAGAGAAATATCTGCCTCATAAGGCAGGGTTTTCTTATGTCGTTGCCAATATTAGAGAAATATCTGCCACATTAGGCAGGGTTTCTTATGTCGTTGCAAATATTAGAGAAATATCTGTCACAGTATGCAGATTTTTCTTACGTAGTTGTCAGTATTAGAGAAATATCTGTCACAGTATGTAGTTTTTATGTCGTTGTCAATATAACCGAAATATCTGTCACATTATGTAGGTTTTGATGTCAGAAAAATGTGGTTTTATGTCGATGTCAATATTAGACGAAAAATGCCGTTTTCAATACTTGACGAAATATGTTTAATAAGCTTAGTTTATGTTGTTGAAAATAGTTTGGCAAAGACTTTTCAAATTTGGTGCTAAACTATTTATCTATTGTCAACATTTATTGGGGAAATATGTTAAATCAGATTAATTTCTCGAATGGTAGAACATAATAGAGGACAAGAATTATTTCGGTAAGTTTCAAAGTCAAAGTTTCCCATTTATCGTTTTCAAACGTACAAAGATACATTGATTGCGCTATTTCCTTTCTCCAAACAAATATTTTGGAAAGGAAGTTGCAAGTGTACAAGAATTTGTATTTCAGCCTTATTGAATCTAATTGCAGTTAAATAAATGCTTTAATAGTTTTAATGTATGGGTCATGTAAGCCGTTGGTGTTTTATTTCTCGTAGTATTTGCAGCTAAGTCGGCCTCAACTTTATTATATCAAAGAAAAATAACGAAATGTTTGTTGTCGCCATTATTATAACACATGCTTATTAAGACCTCTGTGAAATATAATAGTACGGCTCCTCACCCCACCCACACAACGTCTCTAAAGTAATTATCATGTTATAGGAACTATTATTTCCTTCCATCAAAGGGAACCTATTATGTACATACAAGTTTAAAAATCGTAAACAAAAATGCCATGGCAAGTAATATGCATGTATGTATAGCTTATGTGATTTATTAAAAGCAAGTTTTGGGGTATTCTTGTATATATGTAAACGTTTTTCACACAGTTATTCATTTATTTTGTTTCTATATTTATCTGTTTTTACATCATCATCATCATCATTTTGCATCATCATCATCATTTTGCATCATCACCATCATCATCATTTTTCATCATCATCATCATCATTTTGTATCATCATCGCCTAATCAAATTATAACAACTCATAAGACAACTTGATTCCTACTAGAAATTGATACATTTTTCCTTTTTCAATGCATAAGGAACAAATTTAAATTTTGCACTTAAAGAATATAAATATTTACAGTATATGTATACAAAGTCCTATTCCTTATGTTTAAAGGCACATTATGCCTCAGGAATGATTTTTTCCTTCTGTAAAAAGGACAAACTAAAGTACAAATGTATGTTATCACCTGAGAAAAATAACGTTGAATGTGAGATAATTTGTGATAAAGGTTTCAAAATATAAACAAAGAAGTATTTTGACTTTCATACAAACTAAATCAATATATTAGCTAATAAATGGCAAAATATGCTTGGATATATGACCAACGAGTAAGTTTTTGGAAATCACTCAGAAAATGCTTTTGGAAAATAAAAATAATCGCAAACTAAATCAATATATTAGCTAATAAATGGCAAAATATGCTTGGATATATGGCCAACGAGTTTCAGGCTTTATGGACTTTTAATTTATATTTACGTACCCCCCCCCCCCCCCCATATTTATACCCCCCCCCCCCTTACTATACCACACCACCTCCTTAAACTATGGATATAAAGTTCTTGCTTAAAATTTTTAAAAAATGACTTGAAAAATTGGTTATTAAATGTTAGGCTGTGCAATTAATTTCAACCGAGTAATAGGTTAACATATTAGAGAGAATTATTTATGAATTATAATACCGTGTTCCCAGGCATGTTTGCCAAAATTGGGGAACTTTTAAAATAAACAGTTAGAGAGAAAAACGTTCAGAAAATTAAATGATTATTTAACAAAATTAAAATATTTAAACCCAAAGAAACCAAATGAAATTTATAAATTCACAAAAAAAAAGAATAAAAAAAACACGACTAAATAATAAAACAAGTAAAAAAAGTCAATCCTATACATGTAAAAGAGGTTCTCAAAGAAGCATTCTTATATCGAAAACTGTTGGACAATTTAAGTGTAAATGATTAAAATATCGCCATTAAAATAAATTATCAAACTTTACCTGAAACGACAACAATTAGAAATTCCGACTTCATTTTCATAGACACTTTCAAAACAAATTCCTTTCTTTACATATATAAAAATGTCAACGGATATTGAGTCAAAATATAAAACAAACCAGGGTATAGAGTACCACAGTGTAATAAAGGTAATATTTGGAAACAATTAATCATCACAAATTTTAATTGCTGGAATAACGCGCAGTTCAAAAGGTCTTATTCATATGACAGGAGGAAAAACAACAACAATGCTACGTGAACAAACTGAGTTCTCCTTTTCCAATCGCAACTTTTCGGCCCTTTTCGTCATTCTTCGGATAGATAATAGCCGAACATGTTCTGATTCCACAGGTTTTTAAGAAATGAACTTGTCATGCTTTAGATTTTGAAATGCAAATCGTTGGTTATTTAAGTCTAATCCTCAATTTTTCAATAATTTCTATATTGCTGATAGCTGATATGTGTTCGGCGCGTTGATTGGTCACTGCCCCCCCCCCTCATCCACTTTTCAACCCTCCTACCTCTCAAAATCATGGAAACTGCAGTATTTTTCATTTGAAACATGTTTTAATATTTGGTATATGATTTTAATTCAATTTCAGTCATTTCCCACAAAAAAAGTAAAAAAAATGATACATATATATATTTAGTAATATCAATAGTAACAGTATATTTTTTTTAAATTTAATCTAGCTTAAGACAAAAGATGAAAGTAATAAAATTTGGACCTTTGACATTTGCACGTCCAGCCTGTAGCAAGACATCGCTTATGTTGTATTACTATTATAGGTTTTTTTTTTAATTCATTAAGATAGTACTGGATTTTAAATCTACAGAAAATAAAGTTATGAGCAAGAATGGAATTGGATATTCATAAGTTTCGACTGATGTGAAAAATATAGGGCAAAAATGGAATGAATCCAAATTCAAGTATATCTATTACGAAGTTATTTCAAACGCTAGTACGCTCACTTGAACAATACTGTAGTGAAACATTCGACCGATGCGCAGGAGAGTTTGTACATGCGCTGAAAAAAGTCATAGTTAAATCTCGCTCTGTTTGGAGTATAGTTGATGAAACTGACTGTAATTGTGATGTGTTTATGACGCTGGACGACCCTACTTGACCCTAGATCAGGCACACCTCGCCTAGCATCACATTTCACGCGCTCGCGCATAAATGGCCGTGTAATACGAATGATTATAGTCGCAAAGATTATCTCACGTGACCTTACTAGTCAAATTAAGAAGGATTAATGAAAGAAAAATTCAAGCGATTTCTATTTTCATTTTAATGCTTCTATTAATTATAATCAAATTATGATATGAAACAAAAAACAAGAAATAGGAATACACATTGCGTAGACAAACTGTTTTAAACCGATAATGTACTGCACAATTACAGTACGTCCGCCCTCAACATGCTTTTGATAAATCTTACGTTTCATTTCACCAGCAGCAGCAGAAGCAGCAGCAGAATCTTCATTCTATCATCATCATCATCATCATCCCATTATATCATCATCTTCATCTCATCATCATCGGTCCCATTATATGATTATCTTCATCTCATCATCATCATCTTCGTCATCATCGGTCCCATATTATATCATCATCTCCATCTCATCATCATCATCATCATCGGTCCCATTATATCATCATCTTCATCTCATCATCGACTTTATCATCATTACCCTCATCATCACCGATCCTATCATACATCATCTTCACCTCACCATCATCATCATCATCATCATCATGAATTATACAAATAGAATATCAAGTCTTCATGTAATTTTTTGATGATATTTTATTCATCGGTAACAAATGAATGATTGTGAACGAAGTTTCATGTAAACGTTTTTCTTAACTATTTAAAATATTGATAAAAACAATAGAAATCTATCATTTTGGATATATTATTATAGACTATTTCTTGAAGAAAAAAGTAGATAAAGTAAAGTGATTTAGTTTGAACATGTATATGATGAAAATAATAGTTCCTTACATGGCACGTATGATACTTAATACTATCAACATAATTATAAATCGTATATCGCACGTTCTCGGCCCTTTCCGTGAAACTTCGGATAAGTTATTATAAGTAATAGCCGAGATGTTCCAATTGATGATTAGACTAATTTACTATAACTGCAAATCGGCTCTTACTCGGCAGTAATTAGTGTAGCCGCTTTTTCATGAAGAAACCAGTGCTGATAGTGAAAATTGTGATTGGCATATTTTAATTAGCCAGGTCAGGTGTTTCTAAAAGGGCTAATAACACTGTAGCAATGTGAGGATACATTCAAATTTATTACATAGATAATGCACGTGGTGCTCAGCTCGCAGAGACAAATGAGAACACAGTAACTTTTCGATATCCTTTTAACTCTAAGAAAAATGTCAATTATTAATTGCTGACTGTTTATATTTTCTAGAAAAAGTAAGCAAAACATTATTTTGTTTCATATGACAGGAATGAATTGCATTAACCATCCTAGGTATTGTTGAAAACTCATTGTTTTACATGCCTTGTTTGTACGTGACTGCTGGGGAAAATAATGTTATGCTTAATTAAAGAGGTGACACTTTCTATATTTTTATCTGATATCGAGTTGTAAGAGCCGATTTGCAGTTATATGGGTAAGAGTCCGATAAGACTCCCTACGGTCGTCTTAATACGAACTCTTACCCATACATAAAGTTACCAGATAGGCTGGTTACCACACTTCGCCAGGGCTTTTCTACTATGTTCCAAACTTATGAAAATTAACAAATCCAACCTTACAATGAAAGTTTACTAGACGATAATTTACAATTTAATAACAAGAATTCATTATATATAGTGTTTGCAATTAATTAAAGGAGCTCCACTGAGGTCTAAACGTGTAAAACATATTACATAGATCAACCGGGCACTTAAAACAGAAATATATGCAAAAGAACATTAAGAAATATACTAGGAAGTTAATTGAAAATCCTAAATATGTTGCAACGCTTTTCCATTGTGGGTCATTTTTACAATCAGAAGAATTATTCTGGAAAAAGGGGTGAGCATTTTACACACAAATGTTTGGTCAATCCCTATTTCAAATTAAGCATTAATCTGGAAAATATTTTGCCAGTCACGTCATGTTTAAAAAAACCTCAGTGGAGTGCCTTTAATGCTACTTCTCGTCCGCAAACAACGCACTAAAATGAATAACGTTTTTCCCTGACAGTTGTTTTTGATATTCAATTTCGTCCTCACTAAAATGTGTAATGTAATGGTAAAACTTTAACAACATGACAAAAATAATACCAGTTCAGTCGGTTTGAAGAACTAAGTATTTCTAAATGACGCCAGTTCAAACAGTATAAAGAACTAAGTATTTCTAAATAATACCAGCAGTTCGGTCTGTATGAAGAACTAAGTATTTTTAAATAATGCCAGTTCGGTCAGTATGATGAACTTAATATCTTTTGAAATAATGCCAGTACAGTCAGTTGAAAAAACTTAGTATTTCTAAATAATACCAGTTCAATCAGCCTAAAGGTTTTAATTTGAATGAAAATGTTTTTTGTAGCATTAATGCCAGTCCGGTCAGTGTGAGAATCTTATTTTTAATTGCATATATTGATAAATTTTAAGCTTTTGAAAATTTTAGTTTGTCTTTACTTTAAAGTGTTTTGCACATTGATTAATCAACATACATGTATACTAGTGTTTATTTCCTGTACATTGTTGTTATCACGAGAACAGCTTTACTTAAACAACCGCTTTTCCTAGAAGTACTTAGTAAATCACTTAAACCGTATAAAATGCGGAAATTATATACAAACACGAAAGTATGTTACAAAACTAACCCTTACATTTTTAGAAACGTATTTAAACTTTATTCCTAGTGACTAGTTTTGATTTAACATGGCGGAAAGTTGTGATATAAATGCGGGAAGTGATGAGGTCCCAGAACGAGTGGAACATGATAAGGTCCCAGAACGAGTGGAACATGTTGAGGTACCAGGAAGAGTGGAAAAAATTTTGTGCAAACCATGTTTAAATGACAAAAAACGAACGATAGCAGAAAAGTTTTGTTCGGCTTGTGATGAATTTCAGTGTTTGGATTGTTCTAACGTTCATTACACACACAATTTCTTTAAAAATCACAAGTTAGTGAACGCGAACGAGGCGAAAATAAAACAAAGCTCGTTTGATATGAAAGGGTTAGACCAATGTGATCAACATCAGGAAGTTCTAAAATTCTTCTGCGAAGATGACAATCAGCTCTGCTGCAGCACCTGTGCTATTCTTTACCATCGCAAATGCCAGAGCATTTTGGAAATTCAAAAGGTCGCTAAAAGAGTATTCTTGAAATCCTCACAGTTAAAGAATAAATTTGAGAACGTGAGACAGAAAACTGAAATAATAGGAAACATAATTGACTCCTCAAAAGAGAAACTAGGCAAAGATGTAAAACAAATACCAGACAAAATCAGGCAAATGCGGGATAAAGAGATGAAAATGTTTGACGAGCTGAAGATTTCCGTTGTTAAAGACGTTGAATCGTTTAAGAAAGAGACATTAGAAAATCTGACAATAAAGCAGTCACGGACTGAGAAATATCTAGCTGATATAAGGACGTGTCTGGAGACGATTGACAACGTGTATCAAAATGGAACTGTGGTACAACGATTCATAGCTGAGCAGAAGATGAAGAATGACGTCAATGTTCTTCACAAAAAATGTCAATGTAGAATGTCAAGTTTAGAAACCGTGACTGCTACCTTTTGATTTGATGAAACTTTAAAACTTCTCCCTCCCAATCACTTTTATTCCGGGAAAGCTTACCTTACGTCCTGTGTATCAAAGCACTGATACAAAAATTGGTCAGCCGTTTAAAAAGGGGAAAAAGGTAAAGACTGACAACAGATTTCTAAAAAAATGGTTCCAGAATGTCAAGGTTTAAGACAGGGGCTGCTCCTTTAAATTTTGAGAAAAATTAAAATTTTCCCCTCGACCATCCCTGTTTCTCCAGGAAATTTCTCTTCCCCGGTTCCCAAAGGGCAGTAAAAAGCTAAAAATCCTTTTTAGTAAGGGAATTAAACAAAAACCCAAATTCCATTGATTGAGGCAAAAAGGGGTGAAGAAAACCATTTTATTCCCGGAAATTTATCATTACCTGAGGGAAAATGTTGTGTATTATTTTAAAAAGTTCCTTTATCAAAGAAAACGAAAAAAAGTAGGTCATAAAGTATTTAGTCTAACCACGATCTTTGTTGCTGTCTTGATGAGGAATTGCAATTACAAGTGGTTCTGCATTTAAGTAAATTCTAACGGTGTTAACAAATCTTAATGCATAATTTAATATGAACAACAATTAAAAAAAAGGGGGGAAATGGGGCCCGATTAAAAGCCTTCAAAATTTATGAACATTTGTCTCGGACAATTGGATCATTAAAAAAAGTTCGTATTGTATCATTTTAACGGAAAAGAAAGATTTCAATCAGCATTCCCGAAAAAAAATATCCAATAAGTGGGATGCTTGTACTTACATAAGAGCCCAGTGATAAATGGTGCAACAACTGTTCGACGAGTTCAGTCTAAATTATGAACGCTCAAACAACACAAGAGTCGTGGTGAACGATGATCAGATAAAGGAACCACGTGGGTAGGCATTGGTCCCTATGATACTATCCTTGTTTGTGTAGAGGAACACACGCCGTTGTTCAGATATCACAAACTGGTCAGATCTTATCATCATACAAGCCAGATATGAATATCCAACAAGAGTGTGCGTATCACGTGATAAATCATTTCTTATCATAACAAACGCAAAGACTGACAAGAGAAAACTACTTAAATTGAAAATATCATATTGATGAAATAATCAAACATTTACTGCTTTAAGATGCTCGTCTCACGGTTTCTGCAGTTCTTAATATCATATTACCGGTGGTTACAAAAGTAAAATAGTTTCCCGCTTAGCTCAATAGGGAGACCATTAGATAATAATAGTAATATAGGGGTTTCAGATCTCGTCATTAAATGTGTCTCTCACGCTGGTTCAGATATCAAAAGGGATTTTTTGTTGGTTACTTTCGGATAATCGATACGTAACTTTTAGTTATCCAGGAAAGCCAGTTTACCGCATAGCTATGACCAAAAACATGTGTTTAAATAGGCAGGACAAAGATACAACAGTAAATAGCAATTTACGTTCAATTCAAATTTAAGTATAATAACTGTGAAGAACAAAAGTTCAACATAAACATATATCCACTGTTCGCTTTACTGGCAACAAGACATTTTTTTAGATTAAAAATTGTTAGGAAAAAAAAGAAATTAAGCAGTTAAGTTGTTGTGGGAAAACTTGTCTTTTTATGAATTTAGAAACATATAAAAATAAAGGTTCCATTTGTAAATAGATGTAAATATCATAATGTTTGAGACTGTTGCATCTTTAAAGCTACATGCCTTCAGATAAGTCAAAATATTTCAATATAATCAAACTTGAAAAAAATTGACTTAGATGTAAGGAAAAGTAAAATGTTTCAAGATTCAAGTAATATTTTACATATAATGTGCGATTAATTATTGATTTTTTCAGTATTAACAACTATATTTCTACTGCGTTACTAACGCAGTAAATGCTATTTATACAAACTTTGACCACTTTTTGGTAATTTATGTGGTTTGTAAGTGTCATTGAGAATGTGTAAATTGCTTCCTTTTGGTTATTTCACAATATTACACATTCAAATTAATTTTCAAAATTTTCATGAAAATTAGAATGAATCTGGAGGCGTGCTGCTTTAAAAAAAAAGATGATATTATAAGCATATATAAGCATATTCCATCAATTACATGTAAATTAGAAGATATATCTGCAAGTTTGTGATTGTATCTCCACATTAAATGTTATAAACACTTTTCATGTTACCACAATAGCTATATTGTACTATGGAATAGTATACATAATATATACTACTTGATTTTTTGTACAATCTTAATTAGTTTGCTTTAACAACACAGGCGCAAATCCAAGACTTTTTTACCAAAGGAGGTGACAAATTTTCGACGAGATGCATTTTGCAGGGTGTGTATATCATTCTACTAGTAATTCGAGGGTCGTTAGTCATATTGTTGTGTGCGTATTTTATAAATAAAAAATACCTTGATGTTATATAATATTTTATGTATATTCTGATACACATAAGACAAATCCAAGGCGCATGGGGGGGGGGGGGTCTCGCTCCAAACATGCTTTCAAATGAATATTTTCTATTATGTCCCAATATGTCTTTTAATAATTTTAAAATGTTGAAACAATGGGTTTTAAGAGCATATAAGATGCTTGTTTCCTGGAGAAAGTACTGCTTAATGTAAAATTGTTTGTTATAAAAGAAGCAAAATGCAAAGTAGTATTTTAACTTCCATACTAAATACTGAATCACTATAACTATACTAACTAAGAAAATATGGTTTAGATAATTGGCCAATGAGTATTTTTTGATGACTTAAAAATTAGACCAAAATAAAAAAAGCTTTGAAAAATTAAATTAAAAGTTTTTGGGGCTTAGAATGATAACTTAATAATATGAAAGAAACGCATACAGACACGATATATCATTGACAAATGATTTAGAATATTATTTTCAAAGTAACGTTCATCGAAAATGAACATGACATTCATTCAATTTGGTGAAATAGAAGAGAGGTATTTATCATTCTTTTTCAAAACTCATTTGTTTCACATTTATATATCAATGTAGAAGACTAATCATTACATCTGTTTTACAAATCTTGGTCATTTAAGTTGGAAAAATAGTTCATGAGCTGGTGTAAATTATTTCTAATAGAATGATTCATTGTACGAAAAATCTAGTAAGCATTGCAAGAATCTTACACAGGATACCTGTAGGACACTTTTGCTTATTGTGCAGCTATTACCCTCATTTTGTACAATTGATTATGTTAATGTAACAAAAGATGTCATGCATTGTGTACAATTGTCTTTGTTAAGGTACAAAATATGCCGTACATTTTGTACAATTGATTATGTTAATGTAACAAAAGATGCCATGCATTGTGTACAATTGACTTTGTTAAGGTACAAAAGATGCCGTACAATTGATTATGTTAATGTAACAAAAGATGCCATGCATTGTGTACAATTGACTTTGTTAAGGTACAAAAGATGCCGTACATTTTGTACAATTGATTATGTTAATGTATCAAAAGATGTCATGCATTGTGTACAATTGACTTTGTTAAGGTACAGAAGATGCCATACATGTTGTACAATTGATTATTTTAATGTAACAAAAGATGCCTTACATAATATACAATTTAATGTTGATGTAAAAAGCAATGCTATACATTTTGTATGATTGATTATGTTAATGTTACAAAATATGCCATACATTTTATGGCTGATTATTTTAATGTAACAAAAGATGCCATACATTTTGTACGATTGATTATTTTACTGTAACAAAACATGCCATACATTTTGTTTGATTGATTATTTTAATGTTACTAAAGATGCCATTATATTTTGTACTTTGACTATATATATGTAACAAAAAAATGCCATACATTTTGCACAATTGATTATGTTAATGTAACAAAAGATGCCGTACAATTTATACTATTGTTTATGTCAATGTAACAAAAGATGTAATAAATTTTGTACATTTGCCATAGATTTTATACATTTGAGTATGTTCATGGAACAAAAGATAACATACATTTAGTGGAACTTAATATTTTTGCATGTAACAAATGATGACGTAACTTTTTTGTAACTTTGGTTATCTTATGTTTTATCTTTGAGTTAAAAGAATACACATAACGATTAAAATGTATTTTCAATTCTAGTGTAACGATATGGCTTGAATGTTTCGGGCTCTTTACTTGTTTTATCTTTTCATGAAATGAACATTGTACATAGAATAAAAGCTTCATGAAAAAAATCTTGTGTCGTACGTAACCTTGTTTTGTCCTGTTATGAAATTAAAATACTGAAAGTACAAATGTACTAGAAACCAACGAAGCATTAGGAACTGTTTGTATGTATATACATCCCTGAAGACGTCCGCCTCACGATAGCATTCGCAACATTTCAATAGCATTTGAATAGTTATTGTCAACTGTATGAAACCGAGGAGTTCTGCGAGAAGCAAAAGTGAAAATATCTAAAAATGTTTTACGTACCATGTCAAAAAAATAACAACAAAAACACTTAATTCAATAAAGAATAATTGTTTATGTGAATTGGTTCAAGTAACTATATTCAGTAGTTGTTTTTATTGTATTATAACATGTTTATAATCTAGGTGGATTTTATTTATCTAATAAGGGAGGGGGGAATTGTAATAGGCGGTCATAGAGACGTAGATATAGGGTGAAAACTCTCACATATCGAGCATTAAACCACTTCCGATGATGACTATAGACGTTTTTTCTTTAGCTTAAACCCGGAAATGATTTCAATCCTCGACAATTTAACCTTAATATGAAACTAATTATTGATTATCAAATCACCGGAGTCATTAATTAAGGTAAATATTTTACATGTAGCAAAATATGAGCCGTGTCACAACAAAACCAACATAATGGGTTTGCGACCAGCATGGATCCAGACCAGCCTGCGCATCCGCACAGTCTGATCAGGATCCATGCTGTTCGCTTACAAACTCTAAAACAAGTAGAGAAACCGATAGCGAACGGCATGGATCCTGATCAGACTGCGCGGACGTGCAGGCTGGTCTGGATCCATGCTGGTCGCA